GAAAGTGGAGGGACTCTGTTCAGTCTAATGGAAAAGCCACTGGACTAAAGGAGAGGGGGGCCAGGCTCATATGCCCCCGAAGAGTCCAAGGTCTGGACGACAGCCCTGTAACCCCCATCAAAGGAAACAAACCAATATTGTCAGAGCTACTGACGTGTCAGGAAAAGACTTTCTTGTACTTGCTGGGCTGCCCCTACCCACCCCACCCCCAGCAAAACTTGTGAAAATTAATGCCTGTGCCTATCCCATTCAATAGTGAGGGCACCCTGCAGCTAAGACTGCCTCAGGCAGGGGTTATCCAGGCTCTCACACTGTCCCTCGGGAAGGAGGGTGGAGACCTTCCCTAACCAGGGACTGAAGACTGTTATTTCCGGCCAGGCTATCGCAGGCCTTGCGTTTGGTTAATCAGACTACAGTGACTTTGCACCCACTTGCACCCGACTTGTGCACACAGTTGGGATTGCTGCCAGTGGAGGATAGTTGGTTCACTTGATTGGACTTAAAGAATACTTCTTCAGCATTGGACTTGCCTTGGAGGATCAAAAACTATTTGCGTTTCAATGGGAAAAATCCAGACAGGTGTGACTACACCTGGACCCGGCTTCCCAGGAGCTCTGAAACTCTCTCACCATCTTTAGGGAGGCATTGGCCCATAACCTCCAAAAGTTTCCAGCTAAAGACTCAGGCTGTGTCCTGCTCCTATATGCTAATGACCTTTTATTGGGACACCCCATAGCAGTCAGGTGTGCAAAAGGAACAGATGCCTTACTATGGCACCTGGAGGACTGTGGGCATAAAGTGTCTAAAAAAATAGCCCAGATTTGCTGACAGCAAGTGCATTATCTGGGGTTCACCATCCAGAAGGGGGAACACAGCCTAGAAGCAAAGAGGAAGCAAGCCGTTTGCAACCTGCCAGAACCTGAGACTGAAAGGCAGGTGAGAGAGCTCCCGGGAGCCATGGGTTTTGTAAAGTGTGGATTCCAAACTTCACAGTACTGGCCACACCCTTACACAAAGTGACAATGGGGGAGGGAAGAAGACAAGAAACCCTTTGACTGAGGCAAAAACTAAAAGCGAAACTTTTGTCAGCTCTGGTTTTGGGGCTATCCGATTTAACAAAGCCTCTAATGCTGTGTGTGTCAGAAGAAAAAAAAGGAAGTAAAGGAATGGTAATTAAAGATTCTAGCCTCAACTCTGGGAATAATTTTAATATCAAAGCACCCCACACAGTAGTGACTCTAATAAATACCGAAGGACTTCAGTGGTTAACAAATGCTAGGCCGGCCAAATACCTGAGCCTGCTAAAATGAAAATCTCCGTGCCACCACTGGGGGCTGTGCAACACCCTAAACTCTGCCACTTTGCCCCTGATGCCAGGAAGCCCGTGAAGTAACCCGTGTGCTGCTTCAAGATCTCATCCCTGGGTTTGGATGCCACTGTGCATCAGACCAGACAACAGACCAGCATTTGTGGTGGATTTGGTCCAGAAAACAGCAACGGCCTTGGGTATTACTCGGAAACTGCACAAAATGAACAGGACCATCAAAAATAGCTTAGGGAAAGTGTGTCAGGAAACAGGATCAAAGTGGGTGCAGGCACTTCCCTTGGTGTTACTCAAAATTAGATGCGCTCCCTCTAAGAGGACGGGATATTCCCCCATGAAGTCTTATATCATAGGCACCCTCCCATACTCTGGGTACTCCCAGGAACTCCTCGGGAGTGGGGAGAGATTGAGTTAGGATGCCAGTTACAAGCTCTAGGGAAAATTGCTTGGGATATTTCAACCTGGGTAAATGACAGATGTCCTATAAGCTTATTCTCCCCAGTTCACCCTTTCTCACCAGGTGATTGTGTGTGAATAAAGGACTGGAATGCAGCCCCCTCTGAAGCTGTGGTGGAAAGGACCTCAGACCATGATCCTGACCACTCCCACAGCCATAAAGGTAGAGGGAATCCCAGCCTGGATCCACCACAGCCCTGTGACGACAGGCAGCAGCTGAGACTTGGGAAACTACACCAGACCCTAGGCAATGACTGCAGAATCATCTTGAGAAGGACAACAAGCCTGCTCCAGCCACATCCCGGAAGCTGGCTGGTCCACGCACGGCTGAAGCATGAGGAAATTCATCGTGGGACTTGTTCTTCTTAATATTTGGACTCGTACAGTTTGAAGAACGCTCTCGGTGTGTACACCAGGTTACTAAGGTAGGATGTAAAGTTACCGCCATTCTTTTGTTCTCCAGTTATTATGAATGTACAGGGACACAGAAGGGAACCTGTTTATATAATGGTACTCTGTATAAGGTGGTGTGTAATCTGTGGGATGGACAGCCCGATGTCTGCTACGACCCATCAGAGCCCCCTACACATACGGCTTTTGAAATTAGACTCCTAACAGGGCGATGGAACAGGCCTACTAAATTAATAGCTAAAACAGAGGAGAACGGAAGCCCAAAACAGGTTACACTAAGGTTGGATGCCAGTGCAGCCATCAATGCCTATCATTCCAGTATGGGAGGGGTGGGCTGTGGTTCCCTCAGACGGGAACAAAGTTATGCAAAAGAGCACAAGTCTATCTGCCAGAGAACCTACTGGTGCAGTAATGGCATCTTTGGGTCATACGTCATCTGTGCCCCTTGGGAAAATAATACAAATAATCCCATGTTTCTTGTAAAAGGGAGAGACACCATTCCAGGGAGTAATGTCCCTTGTCTCTCAGGACATTGTAACCCAGTAGAATTAATCATCACAAACCCCCAAGACCCTAAATGGGAAAAAGGGGAGAGTGTAATGCTAAGAACTGATGGAAAGGGCTTGACCCCGGAGTCAGTGTCCAGACTCAGGGAAAAATCCAGAAACTCATCCCAGCCACTGTACCAGCACTTTTACGGTATATTAAATAAGCCAGTGCCGGAACTTCCAAAAAAGACAAAGAACTTGTTCCTCCAATTTGCTGAAACTGTGGCCCATTCCCTCAATGTTACTTCTTGCTATGTATGTGGAGGGGCGACTGTGGGTGATGGGTGGCCATGGGAAGCCCATGAGTTAGTACCTTCTGACCCTGTCCCTGACCTGACCTCAGTTCAAAGGGTTCAAACCAACAGTTTCTGGGTTTTAAAGGTTTCAATTATCGGACAATATTGTTTGACCAGAGAAGGAACCGACTTCACTGTCTCAGTTGGAAAATTTAGCTGCATCGGGCAGCGAGCATATAATGGAACAGTGGGCACTATAACCTGGTGGAGCTCAAACTATACAGAAAAGAACCCCCTCCTAGAAATTCCAAAATTACAGGATGCTTGGAATCACCCTGGGTCCTGGAGACACCGAACAGCCAGCCCCTCATGGGATGAACTGGATATGCCGACATACAGCATAGGTACAGCCGCCTGAAAGATGGACAGGTAGCTGTGTCATAGGCATCAAGCCTTCCTTTTTCCTATTACCTCCTAAGACAGGTGAGCTGTTAGGACATCCAGTCTACTCCTCCAGGAGAAAAGAAGTCCAAAAATAGGTAAATGGGAAAATAATAAGTGGCCACTGGAAAGAATTATTGAGTTCTATCAGCCGGCCACAGGGACAGAGAATAGCCCCTGGGGACACTGGGCTCCTATCTAGATGCTAAATCAGATCATTCTGTTGCAGGCTGCCTTGGAAATACTTGTTAGTGAAATGGGCAAAGCCCTGTCCATTTTGGCCAGACAAGAAACTCAAATGAGAAATTCCATTTATCGGAACTGGTTGGCCTTAAATTATTAGCTGGCAGCTGAAGGAGGAGCCTGTGACAAAAACATTCAAACTAACCGACTGCTGCCCGCACATAAACGACCAGGGTCATAACATGGGGAGAAATGCCAGATACAGTATGCGCCAAAAGTAAAAGAAATACATTTTTTAAATCATTAAGATAAAATAAGAATATAACCAATATAGCACACGTTCCTGTGCAGGTACGGCATAAATTCAACCCTAAGTTCTTGTTTAAAGGTTGGTCCTCAGCCTTGGGAGGATGAAAAACCCTCATCACAGGTATAATAACAATAGTGGGCGTTTGTTTACTACTCCCCTGCTTTCCTCCCTTGTTCCTCTAAATGGCTAAGAAATCCTTTACTGCTGTAATAGACCAGAATACCCCCATCACAAATGTTTTATATCCATCTTTATCAATCAGTTTCTTCACAGGATCTGGAAAATGAGAATGAGAGATCTCTCACTAATATTATAGAGTGGTGAGGGTCTCAAGGTGCGGGGTGAGGAAGGAGACCCAGGCATCTGGTATGGGGGAAGACTCTCCAGAAGACACAGTTTTTACTTAAACAAGATCAAACCCCCACCCCACTCCTCCATACAGAGACCAGAAACCTTTCACATGTAATTCCTAAAACTGTAGACCCAAGATCCTTTCCTATGTGATTTCTAAGACTGTAAAGCCAAGACCCTTTCATGTGTGATTTCTAAGGCTGTAACCCTAATAAGAGCCTCTCATGTGTAATATCTAGAGTGTGAGCTTATAAAAAGGCAGAGCTTCTCTTTGTTAGCTGAGCTGTGACATTTAGACAAATCATCGCCCAGCTCTCGGCCTGATAAACTTCTTCTTTCCCAGTTCAGTGTTCAAGAGGTCTGTTTCCCATGGCCGCTCCTGATACAAAATGACCTGAAGTCCCTGGCTGTGCAGAAGCAGTAGCTGTGTGGTGGCACAGTCAGGAAAACTCGGGGGCCCTGTTGACATTTTCTATTGCTGACCCATGTGCATTCTTCTGCCCTAACTCAGCACAGTGGATTCTGCTATCACTGAGTCTTACATCCTCTGAACGCTGTACAATGTCTGCTCATGGCGAATGCTCAGTAAGGTTCACTTCTTGCTGCTCTCTCATCATCAAATCATTGCTATGCACCTGGCTAGCTAAGAGTCTGGGCTCTGGTTACATTCTCAGGAGTGTTTGCAAGGTCATATTGTTATATCGAACTGAGCACAGAAAGTCAACACCAGAACAAAAGGATGCCAAATTCCAGGGTTTATTGCCGGCGACCACGGAGGACTCACGTCTCCCCAACCCGTGGCCCCGAAAGAAGAGAGACAAGACCTTTTTATACCCGCAAAACCACCTTGGGAGTGGGGGTGAGGAGTGGAGATGGGGGTGAAAGCTGTCAATCACCTCCTAGGCTGAGACGAGGGTGAGGGGGCTCCAGACGTTCCAAGGGCCAGGGGACTTTTGTCATTCTGATTGCCACCTAAGTGGTTTACAGAGGTCAGCGTAAACATTAGTTTATACATTATTTGGACAGGTGTGGGGTCCACAGATTTTTCAGTTGCTTGGCACCAGGATGGAATTATCTGGGGGTGCTTACTTTGGTAAACAAAGGCCAGCAATTCTGGCAGTTACAGATAAGAGAAAGTATGCAGCTTTTCCTCTCTTTGCATTTTGCAAGGTCATCTTAGTTTACAGAAGCTATAGCTAGCAGTCATTGTGAGGAGAATGGAAACAGCTTTGTTCTTTATAAAATGGCATTGTACTGGTTCTAACTCTAGGCCAGCTATATCACAATGTTTAGGTGTGAGCAGAGTAAAACAGAGCGAGAGATATGTTGCACACAGCTGTTGGCACTGCATACAAATGTCTTGTGCAAATGGGTAATGTGAGGAGCAGCATTTGGAGTGTGCAGGACTTAAGTGTTTGTTTGTAACATATTATTGATGCCTGTGTGCCATCCTCTGCTACTCCCAGTCTAGTAGGCAACTGCATAACATATCTGAGTCCGGCACTGAGAAAAGCAGTCTGGGTGGAGGTTACAGCGGAGTATGATCGGCATTTAGGAGATACTTAAAACTAGGAAACACCCCTAGAGAAGGGGGTTAGGGGAATTGCCCGTGTTGAGGGAGGGACAGCAAGTACAGATTATAGTAGGATGGAAAATGGAGGGGAGGTGTGATATAGCCGGCCTAGAGTTAGAACCTGTACAATGCCATTTTATAAAGAACAAAGCTGTTTCCATTCTCCTCACAGTGACTGCTAACCTTGGCTTCTGTAAACTGCTAGATCATTTGCAGGATGCAAATTGAGGTAAAGCTGCATACCTCCTCTTATCTGGAAATGCCAGAATTGCTGGCCTTTGTTTCCCAGAGTAAGCACCCCCAGATAATTCCATCCTGGCGCCAAGTAAATAAAAATCTATGGATCCCAACCCTACCCAGACGATGTATAAACGAATGTTAATCTCAGCTCTGTGAACCCCTTAAATAACAATCAGAATGTCAAATAGTCCCCTGGCCCTTGAAATGTCTGGAATCCCCTCACCCTCATCTCCGCCCAGAAGGTGATTTGAATCCACTGGCCCTCGGAATGTCTGAAGCCCCTCACCCCATCCTCTCCCCTCACCCCCAAGGTGATTTTATGGGTATAAAAGATCTTGTCTCCCTCTTTTACGGGGCCACGGGTTGGAGAGACGTGAGTCCTCCGTGGTCGCCGGCAATAAACCCTGCAATTTGGCATTTTTGTTCTGGTGTTGACTTTCTGTGCTCAGTTCGATATAACAGAGGCGAGAGGCATGAAGAAGGCAAAGGATCACAAGTGTGGGGCTGGCATCTTTGGCTGCATCATTCAGTCATGACAGCTCGGGTTTTCCAACAGACAGTGACTCATATGACATTGGCACTGTTTTTCGTTCCTGTTTTACAAGTAAGGAAACTTTGATATGTTGAACTTGTACATACAGTTCAGACACAGTGACTCATGCCCGTAATCCCATTACTTTGGGAAGCCGAGGTGAGAAGATCACTTGAGTCAGGAGTTCAAGACCAGCCTGACCAATATAGTAAAACCCTGTCTCTACTAAAAATGTAAAAATTAGTTGGGCATGATGGCAGGCATCTGTAATCCCAGCTACTGGGGAGCCTGAGGCAGGAGAATCACTTGAACCTGGGAGGTGGAGGTTGCAGTGAGCCAAGATCGCACCACTGCACACCAGCCTAAATGACATATAATATATATAGCCATATTATGGAATATTACTCAGCCATAAGGAATGAAGTTATGACATATGTTTCAGCATAGATTAACCTCAGAAACAGTATGCTAAGTGAAATAGGACAGCAAAAGAGATACATATTGTATAATTCCATTTATATAAAATACCCAGAATAGATGAATCCATAGAGACAGAAGGCAGACTAGTGGTTGTGAAGAGCTAGAAGGTAGGATAGAATGGGAGATTGACTGGTTGATGAGTTTACTCTTTCATTCTGGGATGATTAAAATGTCACAAAAAAAAGAAGAAAACTTGTAAATACAGAATATTGTCTCTTCAGGTGGGAGCGGGAGGTGTGAGCTTAAGCATACCTGCAGTAGGAAGATATCATAAGAAAAACCACCCTAAGAGAATCTTGTGTGTACAGGTTATAACCCAAAGGCTCAGCATGTGGCAGGCAAGTTGGTGGTGAATGAAGGTTGTGAGTTCTCGGGCCCCCTCTCATTGGCTCGTTGTCTCCTGTCCAGGAAGAGGAAGAAATACATTTGGTCGAGGGGACTTATCTCTAACAACAGCCTCTTGTTGATCTTCCCAGATAAGACCCCCCCTCTGCCCCCTGCCACCCTGGACCAGACCCCTCTCTACAGCTAGGAGCCAATGGCAGAAGACAAACCGAACCCAGTGAGCTGGACCAAGCGAAATATGATGCTGAGGACAACATGAAGATCATCTGCCCGGGAGACAGTGCAGTGGGCAAATCCAGCATGTTGGGAGATTAGGGAAGAAATACCAGGCCCAGAGAGGGTCTGGGCCATTAAAACAGTCCTCCACAAGCCTGGCCGACATGGCAAAACTTCATCTACTAAAAATACAAAAGTTAGCCAGGCATGGTGGTGCACGCCTATAATCCCAGCTACTGGGGAGGCTGAGGCAGGAGAATCGCTTGACCCGTGGAGGCGGAGGTTGTGGTGAGCCAAGATTGCACCACTGCACTCCAGCCTGGGCAACAGAGTGAGACTTCATCTCAAAAAAAAGGAAAGAAAAAGTCCTCCAGAGGCTGAGGAGCATGGCTTCTCAGGGCTGGTGAAGGAGCAGTCTTGGCTGGAGCCCAGACTTAACCCTGGTGCATAACACAAGGGTTCATGGGGAATAAGGGGAATCACTTGCACGGTTGTGTGTTGCAGGGACAGGGGCAGGTCGTAAGGACTGAGGAATCTGAGTGTTTCCTCTGAGCCCTGTGAGAAGGTGTGGAGCAGTTCGGGACATTGTATGTGGTGTGCGGGCGGAGGGATTGCAAGGGCAGGGAGTGGGAATGGAAAGGCAAAAGGGACTGTGCAACTGTGACAGATGATAGGTAAAGGTGGTAAAGATGCTTTCTCGGAGGGACTCTGAGATGCAGAAAACCGGGTAGAACCGACGATTTACTATAATCACCAGTTGGGGTTGGGGTTGGGATTAGGGTAGGGGTTAGCGTAGGGTTAGGATCAGAGGGTTAGAGTTAGTGGTTAGGGTTAGGGTTAGCCTTAGGGCTAGGATCACAGGGTAAGAGTTAGTAGTTAGGGTTGGGGTTAAGGATTAGGTTGGGGTTGGGTTAGGGTTACAGGTGTGAGCCATGTGAAGGAACAGCCTTTCTGGTCTGTGTTTCCCTGTGCATAACACAAGGGTAATTGCTTGTGCAGCACTGTGCTGAGATGGAAATAACAGATCTGAGAGCTTCACATGGGTGGTCTGTGTACTCTAGTGACATGAGCTGTTTTGTGATGACGGGTTGTTGTGCTTATTCCCGGGTTCCAGACTTGACCCAGAAACTGTGTGGCTGTGTTGTGAAAAGGGAAAGGGAAGCCATAGGTGGCTTCCAGGTCGTCAGCCTTAAGGTGATAACATTTGGGACAATGGCTCACGCCTGTAATCCCAGCACTTTGGGAAGCTGAGGCAGGCGGATCACCTGAGGTCAGGAGTTCGAGACCAGCCTGATCAACATAGAGAAACCCCATCTCTACTAATAATACAAAAATTAGCCCGTGTGGTGGCACATGCCTGTAATCCCAGCTACTCAGGAGGCTGAGGCACGAGAATCGCTTGAACCTGGGAGGCAGAGGTTGTGGTGAGTCGAGATTGTGCCATTTCACTCCAGCCTCCGCAACAAGAGTGAAACTCTGTCTCAAAAAAAAAAGAAAAAAGGTCTGGGACAATGGGGAGATGGATACGCCATGTGACCACCTTGCCTGTTCTGCTTACAGACTCATGGAGCGATTTCTCATGGGTGGATTGCATCCTTCAAGGTTTGAAATGCCCTTGCTCCTGTGGGTCTTCCCATGCTCGTGCATCTGTGCCCCGCTGTCCACCCCTTTGTGTTAGCCGCCCAGGAAGGAGGACTGGGTAACTGAATACACAGGTTTTGTTCTGCACAGGTTTCTTGCAGATTGACCCACATGGCACTGAAAATCAGTGCTGTGTATTTTGGAGCGGACTCATGTGTGGATTTATCTTATATTAAGAGGGCAGTAGAATGGCTAACATCGTGTACTCTGGATCAAATGCATGGATTCAAACCCCACCTCCTGCTCCTCCTTAGTAGCTCCTGACACTGGGAAAGTCATCCAAGCTCTAACCTCAAAGCATGGCTGAGCAGGTGTCATCTCATCCAGCAGAAGCAATAGCAGAGGGGATCCAGAAGCAGCGGCTCTGTTCTGCTCAGGGTCACCTGCTCCTCTGCACACCTTCCTTCATGCTCTTCCCTCAGCCTCTCCCCAGCTGGCACGCCTTCACTTGAAACTCCGCTCATTTTTCAGGCCCTGCTTAAATGCCTTCCTCTGACGTTTGTCATTAGAAATGCTGTTTCCTGTGCGCTCCTGCACCACTGATCACTTCCACAGCGTGGATTCTGTCTGTGATGTGCAGGTGCAAAGTGCCAGGAGTGCCAAGGCGGAAAGACACAATCACCGCATGCAGGAACTTGTGAAAAAATGAGGATTTCACAGACTTAAGGTGCGAAAGTCACCAGGTTCTTTAAGAAGGCTGGGATTCTTCAGAAGGAAGACACCATGTTCGTCAAGAACCTGGATTCTACTGCTGGAAAAAAAAAGTTGGTTGAGAAAAAATCAGTTGAAGAAACTCGTTATTGACGTGAAGCAGAATTGCTTTCACTGATCTACTTATTACTGTCACCCTCACCTGCATCCCGACCCCAGGCAAAACCCCTAACACTAACCCTAACCCTAACCCTAACCCTAACCCTAACCCTAACCTGCATCCCGACCCTAGGCAAAACCCTACACTAACCCTAACCCTAACCCTAACGCCTAACCCCTAATCCTAACCCCTAACCCTAACCCTAACCCCTAACCCTAACCCTAACCCTAACCCCTACCCCTAACCCTAACCCCTAACCCTAACCCTAACCCAAACGCCTAACCCCTAACCCTAACGCCTAACCCCTAACCCTAACCCTAATGCCTAACCCTAACCCTAACCCTGACCCCAGGCAAAACTCCTAACCCTAACCCTAACCCAAAACCCCTGACACTAACCCTAACCCTAACCCCTAACCCTAACCCTAACCCTAACGCCTAACCCTAACCCTAACCCTGACCCCAGGCAAAACCCCTAACCCTAACCCTAACCCTAACCCGACCCCAGGCAAATCCCCTGACACTAACCCTACACCTAACCCCTAACCCTAACCCTAACCCTAACCCTAACCCTAACCCTAACCGACCCCACGCAAAACCCCTGACACTAACCCTACGCCTAACATCTAACCCTAACCCTAGCCCTAACTAAATCCCAACCCCAACACAACCCTAATTCTAAACCCTAACCATAACCTGACCCCAGGCAAAACCCCTAACCCTAACCCTATGCCTAACCCCTAACCCTAAACCTAACCCTAACCCTAACCCTAACCCTAACCCAGGCAAAACCCCTGACACTCACCCTACGCCTAACCCCTAACCCTTAACCCTAACTAAATCCCAACCCCAACACAACCCTAATCCTAAACCCTAACCCTAACACTAAACCCACCCCTTAACCCTAACCCTGTTAACCCTAACCCCAACCCTTAACCCTAAACCCTAACCCTAACCCCAGGCAAAACCCCTGACACTAACCCTACACCTAACCCTAACCCCTAACCCTTAACCCTAACTAAATCCCAACCCCAACACAACCCTAATCCTAAACCCTAACACTAACCCCACCCCTTAACCCTAACCCTAACCCTAACCGTTAACCCTAACCCTAACCCCAGGCAAAACCCCTGACACTAACCCTACACCTAACCCTAACCCCTAACCCTTAACCCTAACTAAATCCCAACCCCAACACAACCCTAATCCTAAACCCTAACCCTAACCGTTAACCCTAACCCTAACACTAACCCCACCCCTTAACCCTAACCCTGTTAACCCTAACCCCAACCCTTAACCCTAACCCCTAACCGTTAACCCTAACTCTAAACTCCAACCCTAACACAACCCTACCCCAACCCTAATCCTACACCTAACCCCTAACCCTTAACCCTAACTCTAAACCCCAACCCCATCTCCTAAGCCTGTCCCTAACCCCTAACCCCAAACACTAAACCTAACTCTAAACCCTAACCCTAAACTCTACACCAACCCTGACCCTTAACCACCAACCCTAATGCTAAACCTAACACTTAACCCTAACTGTAATCCTTAACCCCTAACCCCAACCTTACCTGTAACCTTCAACTCTAACCCTAACCCTCTAACCCTAACCCTAACCCTAACCCTGTTTCCATCCCACAGGCTCTGTTCAGGATGGGATTTTATCTGATTGTTTGAAGTAGGTGCAAGTCTCTGGTGCCATAGGGGTCCTCCAGGGAACAAGGACCTTGGTCTTCACGGAGACTGTGCACGTGTGTGGCCCAGGAACCTGGGGACGCCTTCAGCCACCAGGTGGCAGCAGGGCCCCTTCTGATTTGGGCCATGTGGCTCAGTGGGAGGGCTGCACTGGCAGACTCCTACCAATGGCTGCTCTTGGGGTGGTTCTGTTTGGCGGCCCCAGGTGTCCACTGTATTATGTCCTGGGACCCTCTGCCCCAGGGCCTTCAACCTTTGCTGGCCTGGCTGCTGACAGAAGACGTACCTCCAGCCTGTCCCTTCCTCACTTCCTGCTGAGACCTGGCCCCAGCGCAGCCAGCTCTATGTCCCTCCTGCCCTCTCAGGCTACCTTCTCTCTTCTAGGCTTCTTCTCACCCCATAGATCCTCAGTCCCCAGCTCGTCCTACGGCTGTGTCCGCTCATGCATGTGCATCCCCCTTCCCCCAGTCGGCCATTCCCATTCTGAGTAGTGAGGAGGCCCCTGCCTGATTGGAGACCCCCAGGTGCAGACCCAGATCACACAGCACACTGAGAAGAGGGGGGATTCCCACCTCAAAAGAAAGGCCTGAGACCAACCCCAGATCCCACCACCCTCAGTCTCAAGGGCAGGCATGACTAGAGGCCCTTGGTGGCCAGGCCCTGCTGCCCTCTTCACCGACCAGCTGGCACGGCTTCCCTTGCCGGCATTCCCTCCTCCCACACCTGTTCTCTCTCACACACACCCTAAAGCCACTTGCCAACCACCTGTCACGCAGCCACCCCAAGCCTGTTGCTGCTTGGCACCCACTGGGGGCCAGGGATGTGACAAACCTCACCTGAGCTGGCTGCCAGGTCCTAATGGGCAGGTCCGGCCCACCCTCTAGGAGAGGTGCTGCCCGCTGAGGCATAAAATCTCGGGATTCTGGCTGGAGGCAGCTCCTGAGACTGCCGGCATGAAGGTGAGCAGTGCCCTCCTGCTGGTGGCCCTCACCCTGTTCTGCATCTGCGGTGAGTCTGTGCCACTGGGGCTTCCAGAATATTTGGGAGCGGGGGGGTTGGGGGTACCTGAGGAGGTAAAATCCTGGCATCGGGTCCGTGCAGTGAACACTCCACCTGCATCTGTAACAGAAGTGGACAAGGACCCTACAGAACCAACCAGTCCCCACCCAGCCACACCCCAACTAAAGACAAAGCCCAGCTGACATCACCAACCCCAGCCTAGTCCAGCCTGACCTGACCCTTCCAGGAATCACATTTTCCCCACACCAGAGGCTTAACTTTGCTTCCCTGGTCATCCCAGGGAACGCTGAGATCCCAGGAAACTGGAGCAGCTAAGATTAAGGGACATGGAGGGGTCTTTGAGCAAGGTGAAGACATGGGGGGAGAGGTGGGCATTGACGGGGAGGGTCTGGAGACATGCAGGTTGGAGCCCTGGGATAGGTCCAGGACTGGGGTTACACCAGTCTCCCTGTCCTGTCCTGGCGCCATCTCGCCTGTGATGCAGGGCTGGCCACAGGGGAGGACAACGCTGAGTTTTTCATGGACTTCCTACAAACACTGCTGGTGGGGACCCCAGAGGAGCTCTATGAGGGGCCCCTGGGCAAGTACAATGTCAACCAGGATGCCAAGGCAGCCCTGACTGAACTCAAGTCCTGCATAGACGGCCTGCAGCCCATGCACAAGGCACAGCTGGTCCAACTGCTGGTACGGGGGCTGCGGGGACACCCCACTCCCTAAAGACCTGAAGCCTTACCAAGACCACCCAACACAACACCCCTACAGCCTACCACCCACACACATCCCAACACCCACAGACATTGGACCCACATCAGCCAGCTGAGGGGGACACCACAGACCTCCTGTCCACAGAGCGGCCCCCAGATACCAAGGACCTGCTCCTCCCCAGTCGGCAGGCACACATGTGCACACAGAGATGCAAACACAGGTGCAGACGTGGGACACACACCGTAAACACATTCACACATGCATGCTCACACCCACACGTGTACACACCATCACGCATGCACACACATCCAGACCCCCCACCAAGGGCCTTGCTTGCCTGATGGAGCTGTGGCTCTCCAGTTATCGATCACAGCTCTCTTAGCCCACTGTCTGCCTTCCAGGTGCAAGTGATGGGCAGTGTGGACGATGCCTAAGTGGACCACAGACGAGGCTCAGCCACAGGACCGAGCACACAGGCAGCCATGGACACGCTGCCCACCATCACCTCCCCACATGGAAATTCGCCCTCAAACCGTTTAATCAATAAAGCCTTCTGCAGCTCAGGCTCTGATTCCTGTCTCTCCCCCGACAGAGGGACACAGCCACATACACAGGGTCCCACTCAAGGAGCACACATGTCAAGGTTACCCACACAGAGGGACACACAGACACAGGGTCCACACAGGAGCAGGCACACCACAGGCAAGACCCAAAATGGAAATCCAGGCAGATACCACGTAGGCAGGTGGACAGAGCACAGAGCCAGACAGCGCCACGTGGACACGGGGCGTCGGAGGGAGACGGGTGGCAGAGGCAGCAGTATGAGGTGGGAGGGGCAGGGAGCCCCAGACACAGGAAGTGTCCAGAACTGGGTGGGCACAGACCCCCTGTCGCCCACAGACTAGGTCAGGGCAGGGGTGCTCAGCATCTGAACGCTGGTGCTGTAAGACAGTAGCTGTGCACAGCAAACGTACAGTCACACAGGCGGCCCAGGTCCGGCGGGTTTCAGAACAATCTCTCTTCCCAAAGTCGCCCAAGAAAAGAGTCTGCCTGGAAAACACTGGGAGGAGCTTGGGCCCCAAAAGGACCCCTGACAAGGCCAAGAAAAAGGTGCACCCATGTCCAAGGTTGGGAGCCGCAGGTGAGCAGCCTCTGAGGTCAGCCAGGGCAGCAGCAGCGCCCACCACAACCGGTACAGACCCTGACCCTGGATCCCAGGCTCTGCCATAGCCAGAACCTTCCAGCATCTCAGTGGCCCAAATCTCTGGTCTCTTCCGGGGGCACAACTGAGTGGAGCTGCCACATCCTCAGCCATCCTCAGTGCTGAGCCCTGAAACTTCACTGCCGCAGCCCTCCTCTCCATACCTCTGACCTGTCTGAGGCTGGCAGGGAGGCCATGGCTGAGGAAGCCCTAGGGAGAGTGCCCTGGAGGACTTGATTATGAGGGAGCTGGTGAGGGGACTGGTAAGGGGGTGCCTGGTGAGGGAACCTGAGGAGGGGGGTCTGGTGAGGAGACCTAGTGAGGGAACCTGGTAAGAAGGACCTGATGAGAAGACCTGGTTGGGGAGGAGGGGGTGGCGGGACCTGGCTGGGGGGGACCTGGTGAGGGGGACATTTAGAGGCGACCTGTTGAGGGGACCTAGTGAGAGGACCTGTTGGGGGAACTTGGTGAGAGGACCCGGTAAGGGGACATGGTAAGGGGTACCTGGTGGTGAGCTCTGGTGAGGATTCTAAGGCTGAGGTCATTGTCTTGGTCACACTGACAGTAATCTAGAACCTGTCATCCCACAGAGCACAGAGCCACATTCTAGAATTTAGAGTGGGGGACCTCTCCCCAGTTCTGTAAGCCCCTGAAGAGAGAGGGAGGCCTTCCTCTCCATGCTCCTTTTGCAGGAACTCCCTGGTACAAAGACCAGAGGGGACAGGACGGTCTCTGAGGAGGATGGGACCGTAGGCTGCCTGGAGTGCTGTCCCTGCACCGAAGAAGTTATAGCCCCCTCCTAGGCAGCCCCCTCCTAGGCAGCCCCCTCCTTGCCCCTCAGCACAGCCTCAACCAAGACGTTCCCCACCTTTCATCACCACTCCAAGTAGGAGAAACTGGCCCAGGGCCTCCTTACAGCTGAGAAGCGTGGTGAGTTGAGGGCCACCATGGACAGCAACTCTGGGTTAGGGTTAAGCTGGTGAGGCATTCACAATCCTATGCAGAAAGCTCCCACGGTCCCTAACTCCTGGCTCCCAGCTGGAGTCCCCACTGACAATCCTGTAGCAGCTTCAGCAGGTCTGCTCTTCAGTGTCGGAAGGAGCAGGGATGGGGACATCAGGGCTGGCATGGGACAGGGCTGGGCCTCCCAGCACCTGGTAACCCTCTCATTTGTAGACAGAGCTGGCCATGATGGAGGAGGTATGGATTGGCACCTGGAGGCCCCATCGCCCCCGGGGACCCATCATGGCCCTCTACAGCAGCCCCGGACCCAAGTACCTGATTCCACCAACAACAGGTAAGAGCTTGAGAGCCTGTGGGGAGGGTCAGGAAACAGGAGTGTAGGTGGCCTGGGGAAGGCCTGAGGGTGGGGGTTCAGGGAGGGCCTGGGGCTCAATCCCTGACTCCCAGCGGGGAGAAGGGCAGGTCAGGCTCCAGACTGCTCAGGGCCCGCTGCGTCCACAGGCTTCATGAAGCACACGCCCACCAAGCTACGCGCACCAGCCTACAGCTTCCGTGGAGCCCCCATGCTTCTGGCAGAGAACTGCTCCCCAGGGCCCCGCTACAATGTAAACCCCAAGATACTGAGGACTGGCAAGGACCTTGGCCCTGCCTACTCCATCCTGGGGCGCTACCACACCAAGACCATGCTGACTCCTGGCCCAGGTTAGTGACCCCCCGCTCAGGCTCCTGCCCTATGCAGCCTCCAGCCTGCCCCTCCCTGCTGGGTCCCCCTAACCTCATGTCCACAAGGGTGTGAGAGCTCAGCCATACTGCCCCTCCTGTCCCATCTTTCTCTCCTGAGGGGTCGCCATCACACCTGGACAGAGAAGACTCTGACCCTAGGGCCCAGCTCCAACCTAGACCTTTCTCTGGCAAGACCACATCAGACACCCCTCTCCCTGCTCAAAAATGGCCTTTGTCTCCCCAGCCCTGAGGGCAGCATTTCCATCCTGGACACCCCCTGACCAGACCTGGTTACCACCTGTGTTGAAGCCCAGAGGCCCCATGCCTAGAATGTTGGGGAGCCCTCCTTGAGCCCCCAGACAGGGCTGCATACCCACCTGCTTGTTGTCCCAGCAACGCCCTTGGCTCCTTGTCCAGGTGACTACTTTCCAGAGAAATCCACCAAGTTCATGTTCCACTCAGCGCCCAGCCACTCCATCTCTGCCCGGACAAAGACGTTCCGAGTGGACAGCACCCCAGGTCCGCAACAGCCCCAACGATCCTCAGCCAAATGGATCCGGGGATCCTGGGTGGGGTGCGTGAGACGGGGCAGCCTGATGGCTGATCTCCAGGGTTGGGGAAAAGCCCCAGGGAAGGGGTAGTGGGCCCTGTTCTGGCCTGAGGAACACGTCCACCCTGCAGGCCCCGCTGCGTACATGCTGCCCATGGTGATGGGGCCCCACACCGTCGGGAAGGTCTCCCAGCCCTCCTTTTCCATCAAGGGTCGCAGCAAGCTGGGCGGCTTCAGCGACGACCTACGCAAGGCAAGGGTCCCCCCGGCTGAGAACAGAGAACTGCCCCCCCAACCTCCCCCACAACCCAGGACCCACCAGCTAGGCCCTGCCTTGCCAAAGCCCCTCAGCCCCCTATCCTCTGGGTGCCTGCCACGTGCTGGGGTGACACTGCAGTGGTGAGGAGGTCCAGGCCCCAGCAGAGGATGGTGCTGTCTGGAGGGTGACAGGCAGTCTTAGCTAGGATTGCATGGAGAGAAGAGGAGGAGGAAAAAATAAACCATGACCTATTTTGGGGAGGAGGGTCCTGGTTTCAGAAACAGCCAGTGCAAAGGCCTTGGGTGGGCATGTGCCGGAGAGCTGGAGGGGCCTGAGATGGGGAAACAGTGTCACGGCACCCAACAGCCCTTGTCCATGCCGATTTCACCAGCCCCAGGCCCCGAGTCCAACGGGACAGTGTCCCGCTGGAAGCACGCCTCTCACATGCTCAGGGATGTTCCCAGGACTGGTACACTCGGGATGTCATAGCCAGCATGAGGCTGAAATTGAGGAAGTAACCCCCACCTGAGAAGGTGCCCCACAAGCAGGGTGACAGAACACAGAGGGGGACCCTGAGGCACAGGCACCGACTTGTAGCTGGCTCTGTTGACTCAGGCCTGAGACCTCTGTCCAAGTTTGCTCTCTGCCCTGTAGGGCCGCACGCCCTGGGCGGGCCGAGTTTCTCTAAGCCTCCTTTGCCTCTCAGACCCCAGGTCCCGCAGCCTACCGCCAGACTGACATGCAGGTGACCAAGTTCAAGGCACCACAGTACACCATGGCTGCCCGTGTAGCGCCTCCAGGGGACAAGACCCTCAAGCCAGGACCAGGCGCCCACAGCCCTGAGAAGGTCCAGGAAGAGCACAGCCCAGAGGGGTCAGGGTGGGGTGGGGGCCCTGGCCCAAAGGCATGTGCAGGAAAGAGCAGGGGAGGGGGGTTAGACACAGAGGAGGGGAAAAAGGGTCAGGCTGTGAAGGACAGTCAAGAGGGGGTGGAGGGTTAGGGTGGGGACGGGAAGCACCTCCACCCTCGGGACCCTGCACATACCCTACCTGCACCAGCCTCACAGGTAACCCTTCAGCGACATGGAAGCAGAGGCCCTGCCCTTTCCTTAGACACTGACAGCTAACCACCGCTGAGTGCTCTGTGTTCAAATCTGGGAGTGTAGCTTCTGGCCACCTTGGCCCCAGGCTCAGGAAGGACAGTGGCCCAGCCCCAGCCAGGGTAGAGAACTGCATGTGGGGGTGCTGGCTCCTCTCATAGCCCCTCCTCTCCCAGGTGACCCTGACCAAGCCCTGCGCCCCCGTCGTCACCTTCGGCATCAAACACTCTGATTACATGACACCCCTCGTGGTTGACGTGGAATAGCCCAGTCCTGCTGTGCCCCATCAGCATCGGCACAGGATTCACTGGGCCATGGAACTCGAGGCTGTCTTCACCCGCAGGGCAGGGCACGCTTGTTTGGACGATTGTAACCAGTTATTTCTTTTCTACGATATTTTACCAGTTGCTGTCTTGTTTTCTGCTGTGCCCAAAGTACTTAATAAATCAGATTGCATTAATTAAGGGTTTGTCTTGGTGGAAGGATCAAGCTTTTACAGAAAGGAGCGCCCATGGGCTGTCAGCACTTGCCCACATAGGGTCCCATCCTGGCTTGTAGGGCCCAGGGTCAGCTCGGTGAGACGGGAAGGCCTGAGTGCCTCAGACACCCTGCTCCACACCTGTCCTTCCCGATACTGTCTGCCTTGAACTCCAAAGACAGCCACGCCTGTGTTCGTCACCTCTGAGCAATGCTGTGTCCCTCCCCTTGAATCTGGACGGCAGCCGTGACTGTCCTGAATAATGAGGTATGGCAGAACTGATGCCACCTGGTTTCTGATGCCAGGCATACAATGTACCAAGGATACCTGTATCCACTGCCTGGATACCAGGGCCCACCCCACCCCCCACCCTTTACCACTGTGTCCACATTTGCTCCAGCACCAGCCATCATGTGAGGAAGCTTAAGCATGGTAAGACGGAACTCATCATCCCAGGCAGTCGGCCCAGCCAGGCCCTCCACTCTCCAGCACTGACCTCTGGACGTGAGTGAGCCTTCAGATGGACGGTGAGGCCTCCACGTTGTAGAGCAAGAACAGCCAACCCTGAAGCAGTGCCCTGTCTCAAATTCAATGAGACACGATAAATCGTTGCAATTTTAAGTGCCGTTTTAGGGTGACCTGTTACACATTCGTGGGTAAGACAGGGAGTAGGAGGACATGGACGGGAAGGGCAGGGTATGGGCCTGAAGAGGGGGATTTCCAGAGGCTGCCCAGGAGTCCAAGGCCAGGCCTCGAGAAGTGGAGTCTGGGTCTCAACTCGGCCTTTCGGGGAGGTCAGTTTAGGATGCACAGCCTTGACAGATACAGCTGTGGCACCATCACCAGCACCCGCGTACAGCACAACACAGCTGCTGACTCCCACTTAGCTGTGATCGCACCAGCCTGCATATTCAAAGCACTTCGTATTTACTCACATTTTTTGGGGTTGTTTTATTCTTTTTTTTTTTTGAGAAGGAGTCTCTCTGTCACCCAGGCTGGAGTGCAGTGGCACCATCACGTTAAGCAATTCTCCTGCCTAATCCTCCTGAGTAGCTGGAATTACAGCCAAGCACCACCACACCAGCTACTTTCTCTATTTTTAGTACAGACCGGGTTTCACCATTTCAGTCAGGCTGGTCTCGAACTCCTGACCTTGTGATCCACCCACCTCAGCCTCCCAAAGTGTTGGGATTACAGGCGTTAACCACCGCGCCCGGCCTACTCACTTACTCCCTATGTGATGATGCCCTCAGGATCCCCCTCTGCATTTCAGGAACTTGGGCAGGGAAGGGGAACACAGCAGGAAGTGGGTTCCGGCCCACTTCATATGAAGCAAAACTAACCTCATTATAACATCTAAGCTATTTGAGACGAGGCTAAAGCATCTCTATGGTCAGCATTTCTGGAAAAACAAAGGCCACTGTAATTCTTCAAACCTCTGATGACTTCCAACCCATCAACCAAGAAATGGCCGTCACTACAGAGCCTGTGGCTGCCCCGCCCAAAGTCAACCCTGATGGGAAGGGAGAGGGTTTATGGCACCAGTGCCCATGGCCAGCCTGGGGACCAGTGAGCGCCACACAAATTTCCTCAAATCCCAAGGAAATGAGGACAACAGAGACCATATGATTAGTTCTTCATAAAATCATATTTACGACAAATTTTTATTGTTTACGTGTTTTGTCTTGAAATTATGGGATAGAACCTAGCACTCTGTCCTCACTTGGCAGAGTGGGTAGCCCTGGCTCTCACGATGGGCCCCAAGATCCCTTTTGGTTTCACTGGTATCAGGGATCACAGTCAGCAAAGCCCGCTCTTTTACAGGGTCAGGTGCACGGGGCTGAGGGTTAGGGTCGGCCCCTCAGAAAACTCTGGTCTGGCACAGCAGCAGCAGGGTTGCCACTCTCCCTTTGCAGGATCTTAACACAGCAAGAGTAAGACGCAGATAAGCAAACCAGAAAGAAGTCCAGCCCAGACCCCAAAGTACCTGGGAGGGCTGCAAACAGCTGTGGAGATGGAGAGACAGGGAGGGAATACAGAGACTGCGTCTCAGAGACGACAAAGGTCACCCCGAGTTGCAGCCTAACTTCCTAGTTTGCATCAGCAAGATGAGCGGGTGCCACTAAGGAAACAGCACGGGGGTCTGGTTCGGTTCCCACAGCTCAGTCACATTCCCCAGAAATGGAGGTCAGCCTTGAATGGCCCAGGAAAACATGCGGGATGGAGTTGGGAGACAATGCAGGCAGCCGCTACCCTACCAGGTAACCAAGGGACAAGCCCCTGATGAGCAGAGGACTAAGGCAAGCCATGGCAGGCAAGGACACTGGTGCCGGAAAAATGACAGGGGTCTGCAAAGGGACATCTGAAGAGGGGGCAGCAAGCTGGGAGCAACACCAGCCCAGCTAGGTTACAGGGCAACAGCAAAGCCCCAGAGAATGGAGGCAGTCGAGTAGACCTTGCTGGGTGAGAAGAAGCAGGCCTGCACTGCATGAGCGAGTAAGAAGATGGACTCCACTCCTCTGGGAGGCTGACAGTCTCAGCCAGGTACAAGGAAGGGGGCTGTGGTGAGCGTGCATGGAGAAAGGGGGCTTGCTGTGTGTAAGGGAGAAGGAAGGGAGGGGAAGGGTGAGCAAAGTGGGGCTGCAGGCTCCAGGCTGTGCCTTGTCTCTGGTCAGCCTGGAGCTCTGAGGCAGTTTGGGATGGACGGGACACATGGTGTGGCCACAGGTGGGGGGACAGTGAGCCCATAGTCTCCAGGGAGTGACTGGAAGGAACAAGATTGGAACAGGACAAAGAAGGGCACAGAAGCACACGACTCATACTTCAAAGGTGTTTTTATGCCAAGACAAGGGGGCTGGGACCTCATCTTGAGGTGGGAAGAAGTCATTTCCCTGCCAGTCCAGTGGTTTGAACATCAGCCCAGCCCAGGGAGAGGTGGGTAGGGTGGGCATCCTGCAGAGGCTAGAGACAAGAGGACAGCACGGAGCACCATCACAGTCAAGGGAGCCTGGCAGGGCTTGGCAGAGGGGCAAAAGTTACCAGCAAGCTAGGCGGCAACTGGAGTCCTCACAGGAACCTTCCTGTGTAGATCCACAGGTTTGCCTGACTCTGAAATGCCAAACAGGCCCACTTCTAGGTCTGCTCTCCCGAAAACACGTCTTTGGTGCTGGGCTGATCCTGACTCCTGAGAACGCAAGTTTCTGCTCCTGGATACAGTCACATGACCCAGAAGGATCCAGGCGCAGCCACTAGGCCAAGGCTGCAGTTCACTCCATCCACACCCCAGTTCTCCCCAAGGGTCTCACTTCATCCGCAGGACTGGAGAGCAGGCAGAGAAAACTCACAGCAGAGTAGCCCACGCTGGTCTGCCCATGCCTAGCAACCGTGGCCAGAAGGAACCGTCATCTCCAGGCTGAGAGGCCTCAGTCGGAGGAGATGGCACTCACTCAGGGTTCACAGTCCCTTCCTGTGTCAGCTCCAGGCACCTTGGATCACAGACATGGCCTCACCCAGACAAGGACACAGCCATAGGGCCTTAAGATGTCAGCGTCCCAAGAGCTGGGAGAAAGGCTGCAGGCCTCAAGTGGCTACGTCTGGGATTCAACAGCTGCTGCGCTTGGACCTGGCTCCTCCAGACATGCTGTGGCCCCAACTCTGCTGGTGTCTCTAGCACCTGGGGGAGGAGGGAGGGGCTGGCCCTTGGTTTCCCCAAAAGAGAGTCCCTTCCACAGCCAACATGAGCTCATCAGGTCACAGGCTGCCACAGCCTCCTGCCCCACAGGAAGAAGATTCCAAACCCACAATTGTAATTTCAAAGGAGTATTTTGTAGGTAAGTTCTCTGGAGCCCAAGACGCCAGGCACCCAGAGACACCAGCTCCCACTGGTTCACGTCCTTGCCCTCGACAAGAAGTAGGAGAGGATGAAGAAGACCACAATCAGACCCATGGCCATGCCACACAGAAGCTTCCGGTTGTCCCGTCCAGACCTTGCCATTGCGGAAAAGCGCTTCACACTCCCTGTAAGCAGGCCGGTCATGCTTGTGAAATCCGAGTCCTAAAGGGGGAATCCCAGCAAGATCACACAGAAGTGGTGATTTCACCACCCACCCGCACCAGTGCTGAAGGAGACACTGCAGGCTCTACAGCAGGTAGTGTTGGGGCAGGCCCTTACCATGCCATCCAGGTACCGGTTCTGATCCTCTGCGTCCCTGTCGATGTCCAGGGCAAGCTGTTCAGCACAGAGAGGGCAGGGTTGGGCCAGAGCAGACACATAATGCAGCACTCACCCTCCCCAGACCAGACAAGCCCTGCCAACAACTCTGCCAGAGTGCTGCAGCAGCAGAGAGGTCCAGGTGGGGCCTCATGCAGGTGAGCACAGCCACAAAGCACATGAGGATAGAAAACTGCCTGAAACTCCTCTGGGCCGTCTGCCTTTCCTCTGACCCCCACCCCCCAAGGGCACATGGTAGAGGTAAGAGGACAGGAGACCACCACTGACCGATTTGAGCCTGGTGACTTTGGAGGCCAGGCTGTCGGTCATTCGCTTGTTCTCCCGGTCTAGTATCTCTTCCACAGCACCAGGACTCTGACCTGAGAAGAGAGAGAGGCTGAGGGGTTGCATCCACCGGTGAGCACGGCCCCTGACCCGTCGCTCCAACCACATCTGGGTGAGTTGGAAATCCAGGGGGACTGGGCCCTGTGTCTGCTGGGCAGGTGGCAGACACAAGGCCCTAACCAGGTTCCAGCAGGTGGATCTTGCACATGTGAGGCAGGCTGCATAAAGAACGATGTGTGTAAGTAAGCGCATGTCATGTGAACACACGCCCTGTGTACACATCCAGGTGGGGATGGGCAAGCACCCACAACAGGCTCGGTGCAACCAGCAGTTTCCCACACTGTGTAGCAGAAACTGCACCCAGCCCTGGGATGCTGGTAAGATGTGACACTTGCATCCATGGAGGTCGCCATCTGTGTAAAAGTGTAGGAAAGACTTGGGGAAAGTACCCAGCAGAGCAGTAGGAAGGCTCCTACAGGGGCGACTTCAGAGCTGGCTCCTGAAGAGGTGGCAAGGAACCAGGACAGAATGTTGAGAAGGCGCTTTACCGCACAAAAAAAGGTCTGAGCCAAGCTCCCAATTCCCCACCATGGGAGCTGAGGTCGACCAAGAGAGGGATCCTTGGTCTGCATCCCACAGAGGGCTTCCCGCAACACCCAGAGCACAGTGCTTGCAGCGGCCTGGCCTGTGATGTGATAGGCTGGGCCAGGTGATAAGGAATTTCTGTCACATCAGGTAGGTGAGAACCACCTGCTGCCTAGCTTCAGTGTAAGCAACGGGTGCAACACAGACAGGCAAACATCAATATCCCACTTTGCAGACAAGAACACGGGCTCCGGGAGGGGGACTGGGGCCATCGAGGCCCAAGTTAGCAGACGCCTGCTTGGACACCAACGGTGCACGCGTGGCCTGTACTCCTAGGGCCTGGCCCCGGGACCTGCCGAATGCGGAGGCTCCCGCACCCCGAACCCACGCAGAACGATCTCACAGGGAATGGCGGAGAGTTGGGGGACCCCGCAGCTGCGCGACCCCTCGCTGGAGCGGCTAGGCCGCCCCCTCGGACCCGGAAGGATCCGAATCTGCCCCCGTGACAGGGTCCTCTCCGCCGAGGACAGTTTAGAGGCAGGCGTACGCGGCTCTGCAGGTAACAGCGTCGGCTCCGGCCGGGCCCGGCCCCGCCCCCAACGACTCCGCTCTCTCGCGCTCACCCCTACCCCAGTCCGCCATGGTGCCTTCCCCGGCTCTTCAACGCCGACACCGACGCGGCAACCGCCGCCTCGGACGTGGCGCAGTCAAGGGGCAGGACTTCCGGCCCCGCCTCCGCAGCGACCACGCCCCTATATGCCCCTGCCCCTTCCGCCTTGAACTCGCTGACTTCCGGCTGAGGGCTACGAGTTGGGAACCGCCGGTCGCAGGAGCGCGGCACGGATGTGCCTTTCATTTTCCGCACCGTCCCAGGCTGGCGTGCAGTGACGCGATCTCGGCTCACTGCACCCTCCGCCTGCCGGGCCAAGCAGCCCTCCCGCCTCGGCCTCCCAAGGTGCTGGGATTACTGGTGTGCGCCACCGCGGATGTGACGTTTGTTGTTCCTGTGAGCGTAGGGCGGGGCGGGGCTGTTGGCTCGGTGCCAGGACTACGGTGTGGGATAGACGCTTCCGTGGGTTAGGTCCTAACGGCGGGGAAGGATTCACAGGCGCGTCATGAGGAGGGAGCAGGCCCCCCCGAGCAGGAGCCCTGTTCCCGGCCACTTCCTGTCGTCCGGTGTCAGCAAAAGCAGCGTTTCCTCGCTGCCCGTTTTGAAGCACAGCCTCGTGTCCTTTGGTGTTTGCTTGTGTGCCTTCCCCTCGGGAACAAAAGCTCCGCGAAAGCATGGACCTAGGAGTCCCGTTCGCCTGCGTTCCCCAGCAAACGCCTAACGAACCCGATGGCCCAGGACTGAAAAGTCCCCCACTTCGGCTCCCCCTCCACACCCCATCCGTTCTGTGGAGATCCAGGGGCGGCGCTGTGTGTGTGGCAGGGCGAGGTGGGGGCTGAGATCCTTTCCCGTTGGAAATTCCTGCCCAAGAAGCGCGGGTCACAAGGAGAGGGGTCAGTTCGGTCGAGGGCGACTCGGGTCTGGAAACCTTCGAACCGCCGCTTCGGCTCCAGGCCGCGCCCCCTGAAGGCGCCGCCCGACGCCGCACCCCGTCCCGGCCTCCCATGCGCGCTGGCGCGGAGCTCTCTGGGCCAGGGCGGGGCCGGCGAATTGCGGCCCGGAACGGCTGGGGCGGGTCCCGGGGGCGCCATGGAGCCCCGGGCGGTTGCAGCAGCCGTGGAGACGGGGAAGGAGGATGTGATTATGGAAGCTCTGCGGTCGTACAACCAGGAGGTGAGCCGCCGCCGGAGGCCGGGGTCGGGCACGCGTGGCAGGGACGGGTAGGAGAGCGAGGCAGGGGCTGTATCCGGAGGCCGGGGTCGGGCACGCGTGGCAGGGACGGGTGGGAGAGCGAGGCAGGGGCTGTATCCGGAGGCCGGGGTCGGGCACGCGTGGCAGGGACGGGTGGGAGAGCGAGGCAGGGGCTGTATCCGGAGGCCGAGGGGCGGGCACGCGTGGCAGGGACGGGTAGGAGAGCGAGGCAGGGGCTGTATCCGGAGGCCGGGGTCGGGCACGCGTGGCAGGGACGGGTGGGAGAGCGAGGCAGGGGCTGTATCCGGAGGCCGGGGGCGGGGGGCACGCGTGGCAGGGACGGGTGGGAGAGCGAGGCAGGGGCTGTATCCGGAGGCCGAGGGGCGGGCACGCGTGGCAGGGACGGGTGGGAGAGCGAGGCAGGGGCTGTATCCGGAGGCCGAGGGGCGGGCACGCGTGGCAGGGACGGGTGGGAGAGCGAGGCAGGGGCTGTATCCGGAGGCCGAGGGGCGGGCACGCGTGGCAGGGACGGGTGGGAGAGCGAGGCAGGGGCTGTATCCGGAGGCCGGGGGGGACGGGCACGCGTGGCAGGGACGGGTGGGAGAGCGAGGCAGGGGCTGTATCCGGAGGCCGAGGGGCGGGCACGCGTGGCAGGGAGCGGGTAGGAGAGCGAGGCAGGGGCTGTATCCGGAGGCCGAGGGGCGGGCACGCGTGGCAGGGACGGGTGGGAGAGCGAGGCAGGGGCTGTATCCGGAGGCCGAGGGGCGGGCACGCGTGGCAGGGACGGGTGGGAGAGCGAGGCAGGGGCTGTATCCGGAGGCCGGGGGGGACGGGCACGCGTGGCAGGGACGGGTGGGAGAGCGAGGCAGGGGCTGTATCCGGAGGCCGGGGGGGGCGGGCACGCGTGGCAGGGAGCGGGTAGGAGAGCGAGGCAGGGGCTGTATCCGGAGGCCGAGGGGCGGGCACGCGTGGCAGGGAGCGGGTAGGAGAGCGAGGCAGGGGCTGTATCCGGAGGCCGAGGGGCGGGCACGCGTGGCAGGGAGCGGGTGGGAGAGCGAGGCAGGGGCTGTATCCGCGAGCACAGGGGACACGGCGGCGTCGGGGGGCCAGGTCCGGGATGCGATGTTGAGGGGAGAGTGTGGGGTGCACCGCTGGGTGGCAGGTGCGTAGGGATGGGGGCGCGTGTAGACCCTGCCATCCGTTCTGAGCGGTGGCCGCCGCCCATCAGCGGACGCGGAGCCTGCCCCTCTCTGGACTTGAATTCACTGTTTCTCTCTGCAGCACTCCCAGAGCTTCACGTTTGATGACACCCAGCAGGCGGACCGGAAGGTGGGTGCTGGCCCGAGGGGTAAAGGGGCAGGGACGGGTGGCCCCAGGAAGAGGGACCTGGTGGAGCCGCTCTTCTCCTTGCCCACAGAGACTGGCGGAGCTGCTGGTCTCCGTCCTGGAACAGGGCTTGCCACCCTCCCACCGTGTCACCTGGCTGCAGAGTGTCCGAATCCTGTCCCGGGACCGCAACTGCTGGGACCCGTTCACCAGCCGCCAGAGCATGCAGGCACTGGCCACCCATGCTGGCATCTCTGTCTCCGAGGGCTCCGTCCCTGAGTCCGCAGACATGGATGTTGTTCTGGAGTCCCTCAAGTGCCTGTGCAACCTCGTGCTCAGCAGCCCTGTGGCACAGACGCTGGCAGCGGAGGCCCGCCTAGTGGTGAAGCTCACAGAGCGCGTGGGGCTATACCGAGTGAGGACCTTCCCGCACGACGTCCAGTTCTTTGACTTGCGGCTCCTCTTCCTGCTGACTGCACTCCGCACCGATGTGCGCCAGCAGCTGTTTCAGGAACTGAAAGGAGTGAGTCTGCTGACGGACACGCTGGAACTGACGCTGGGGGTGACTCCCGAAGGGAACCCACCCAAGCTCCTTCCTTCCCAAGAGACTGAGCGGGCCATGGAGATCCTCAAAGTGCTCTTCAACATCACCCTCGACTCCATCAAGGGGGAGGTGGACGAGGTGAGCACTGATGGCAACCCGTGGCTGGGTCTCAGCTCAGCTCCAGCATTTTCTGGACCTGCTTGCTTCCCACTGGGTACCTTCGGGTTTCTGAGTGTCAGACATGGAGAGGATAGGATCTCTCAGCCTATTGGGACAAGGCCAAGGAGATGCCAGTTTCGGGCTGGAACCTCAGGGATCCCCTTCTGGCTCTTGCTGCCTGGCAGGAGGGCTGTGTGGTGTCAGGGGAGACTGTAAGAGATCCTTCACCATGAGGCCATGAGTGGGGCTGACACACTGTGTGACCTCCCCAGGGAATGTGTTTCTACTCAGGGAGGTGATTTTTTTTTTTTTCTCTGAGACGGAGTTTCGCTCTTATTACCCAGGCTGGAGTGCAATGGCGCGATCTCAACTCACCACAACCTCCACCTCCTGGGTTCAGGCAATTCTCCTGCCTCAGCCTCCCGAGTAGCTGGGATTACAGGCACGCACCACCATGCCCAGCTAATTTTTTTTGTGTGTTTAGTAGAGACGGGGTTTCACCATGTTGACCAGGATGGTCTCGATCTCTTGACCTCGTGATCCACCCGTCTCGGCCTCCCAAAGTGCTGGGATTACAGGCACGCACCACCATGCCCAGCTAATGTTTTTTGTGTTTTTAGTAGAGACAGGGTTTCACCATGTTGACCGGGATGGTCTCGATCTCTTGACCCCGTGATCCACCCGCCTCAGCGGAGGTGCTTTTAAGAAGACAGAGGTGGTCATCTTTTGCCCCCAGCACTACCAAAGTCACTTAGGAGACCCCAGGGGGTCAGGCATGGAGTATGGGAGCTGCACAGTCAGTGCCACATATTCTTGGAGTGCAAGACAGTAGAGCCTCAGCAGGCAGCAGTGGGATGAGTGGGGCTCCTCACAGGAACCCTTCTTTCTTTGGTCAGGAAGATGCTGCCCTTTACCAGCACCTGGGGGTCCTTCTCCGGCACTGTGTGATGATTACTACTGCTGGAGACCGCACAGAGGAGTTCCACGGGTGAGGACATGGCTTTTTCTATGGCCACATTGTCTAGCTAGTGGTCCTCAACCCTGTGGACCAGAACCGCCTGAGAGCCCAGGCCCCACCCTGGGGGGGGGTCTGACTTTGTCTGAGTGAATGGTACTGGACATCAGTGTTTCCGGAGAATACTGAGTGCTTCCAATAGGTGGCCAGGACAGGAGCCATGAATCTGGGGACAGGAATGTGCCAACTGGACCTTGGGTAGTGGCAACAGACACATGCTGTTTACTGGGCATTTTGGTCCCTTGTCCCCCTTCTTGGGCCACCTGCCCCTAGGCTGATCTGGGTTTCCAGAGATGGTGGCACTTTAGCCCAGACAGGGTGGGGCAGTTAGGGTGTCTGAGTGCCCCCACCTCCCCAGGGGACCCCACTGTACAGCTGAGTGGCAGTGCCTCTACGATCGGTCTCTGCCTTTGTTTTTGGTCCCTAGTGTTGCTCCTTTAGGTCCTCAGACGCCAGCTCGTGTAATGTGTGGTTCAGTGGGGGCACAAAGATTGCACCTGTGCCAAGGGATTAGCTCTATTGAGACCCCCGTCTCCTGTCCCCAGCCATGCAGTGAACCTCTTGGGGAACTTGCCCCTCAAGTGTCTGGATGTTCTCCTCACCCTGGAGCCACACGAAGACTCCGTGGAGTTCATGGGAGTGAATATGGATGTGATTCGTGCCCTCCTCATCTTCCTAGAGAAGCGTTTGCACCAGGTAGGCTGGGGATGGCTGTGCAGGCTCCCCCAGTGGCTCTGGCGCTGGCTGTCCTGCACAGCTGTGGTCAGTGCTTCCACACTGGTAAGTGGAGATCATCTTGGTGATGTGATATGGGCAGTTCTTTTGGCTGTTCTGAGGTTCAGCCTGGCAAGAAGCCAGACCCTTCCTCCATGAGAAGCATGTGGACACCCTCCACACACTTAAAGGTTTCACTTCTGCTTAAATATTTGTGGATTTTTATTGAGTGGTCCTGAGAAGCGCCCCCAGTCCCTGCTTTTAACTCTTAGACACAGGCAGCCCTTGATTATAAGCATGGCTGTCCCTCAGCACCCTGAAGAGACCCACAGGAACCTCTGATCAAAGGTTCCCTCTGATTCCTGTGACTGCACTGTGGGGCATCTGGACAGCTGGGCTCTAACCATTCTCCAGGCTCTTGCAGAAAGCAGGTTCAGTAGACGTCTTGGGAATCTACCTGCCTAAGCAGAGGACACACATGGTGCATGTGAGCCAGTCAGGATAGGGACCTGGCATTGGGCATACAGCTGGTGTCATCTGTCCCCGTCGCTGCCACTGCTGATACTAGGGTCCAGGCACATTATGCTAGAAGGGACAGGAACTCCCTGCTTTCTGTCCATGAAGTACACCAAGCAGGGATTCAGTTCTCGTTTCTTTTTGCCACCGTCATCTGAGGTCAATGTGTGTGCCAGTGTGTGCTAAAGCTTGAATTGCTTTATCCCTGGCTTATAATTGAAGCAGTTATTTGAGCCAAGTCACAAAACTTCTGAGTTAGGCTCTATCCCCGCCCCTTTCAAAACTGACACAGATACCTAGCACCCACTCTTGGCCCTCCACTGACTAACTGCAGAGGGGTCTCTTCCCAAACCCCTGCCGCCAGGACCAGCTGGTGTGTCTTGGGGGCGGGGGCAGGGGGTTTTGGGGATGTAACTCTGCGCCAGTCTCAAATTAGGTATGGCCATAAGCCTGATGACAGAGGCTTCTCTACAGACACACAGGCTGAAAGAGAGCGTAGCTCCTGTGCTAAACGTGCTGACTGAGTGTGCCCGGATGCACCGCCCAGCCAGGAAGTTCCTGAAGGCCCAGGTATGAGGCTCAGAAGCTGGCGCTCCTGGGAGATGTGGGTTGGGCCCTGATCACAGACTCTTGGCTGCTCCAAGCCGAAGCTGAGGGACGGCCGCCTCCCCAGGTGCTGCCCCCTCTGCGGGATGTGAGGACACGGCCCGAGGTTGGGGAGATGCTTCGGAACAAGCTTGTCCGCCTCATGACGCACCTGGACACAGACGTGAAGAGAGTGGCTGCCGAGTTCTTGTTTGTCCTGTGCTCTGAGAGTGGTGAGTTATGGAGGCCCAGGTCCCACCCCACCTAAGCCAGGCTTGCACTGACCTCTGCCTTGCTCCTCAGTGCCCCGATTTATCAAGTACACGGGCTATGGGAATGCTGCTGGCCTTCTGGCTGCCAGGGGCCTCATGGCGGGAGGCCGGCCCGAGGGCCAGTACTCGGAAGATGAGGACACAGACACAGATGAGTACAAGGAAGCGAAGGCCAGGTATGTGCCCCAACACACCCTTGGGGTTCCCACTCAGGGCCACACCCATATGGACCCCTGTAGGGTAGGTGGGACAGGATGACACATGGGCAGGACCTTCCAGAATCAGGCTCCTGTTCCTAAGTGCTATCTGGGATACCAGAAGGTGGCAGGTGGCAGGAGCTGGTTAACTGCTGCTCCTGGAGGGAGGCCTCTTCCTGCAGTTGCCTTGCCCTGCCCCCTCTCACCCCATGGGAAAATGTGTCTTGCCTCCTGTCCTGGAGAGTCACTAATGCATTCCTTACACTCTACCCCATGGGAAGCAGCATAAACCCGGTGACCGGGAGGGTGGAGGAGAAGCCGCCTAACCCTATGGAGGGCATGACGGAGGAACAGAAGGAGCATGAGGCCATGAAGCTGGTGACCATGTTTGACAGGCTCTCCAGGTGTGTGGCATGAGGAGGAGGTGGGGGGAGCCTGCATTTGGGAGAAGGGAGAGCTGACCCACATCCTGTCTTGTGATCCCCAGGAGGTAGGGTCAGAGGAGAGCTTAGGATCCTGGCAAGGGCGCATTACTTACGTTTGACATCACTTGCCCTGGAGGAAATCCCCCAGGGGATGGGCATATTGAGGTCAGTATTGTGCCCATTTTACAGATGATAACTGAGGCCCAGAGAACTTAAGAGACTGTCTAATGTCCCTGGACTTATTGGAGATGGTCCAATGTCCAAATTCAGAGACTGTTTAAGGCCAATTTAGATGTCTCAATTAAAAGAATCTACTTAAAGCCATGAGGTAGCAGTTAGGATTTGGGCCCAATTAACAGAAAGTCCAATCAGGCTTCCCCAGTAAATGGGAGCAGCCTACCTACTTGGTGGAGAGGAAGGTAGCAGCCAGGGGTCAGCAGGACCCTTGCCTGGCCAGCGGGGCCCCTTCCCCAGCCCCACTGCACCTTTCCCCACAGGAACAGAGTCATCCAGCCAATGGGGATGAGTCCCCGGGGTCACCTTACGTCCCTGCAGGACGCCATGTGCGAGACTATGGAGGAGCAGCTCTCCTCGGACCCTGACTCAGACCCTGACTGAGGATGGCAGCTCTTCTGCTCCCGTCAGAACTGGTGCTGCTTCCAGAGACTCCCTGGGGCTGTAACCTGGGAGAAGCCACATCCCCTGGGCCCACGCCCCTCTCTCCATCTTGGAAACCCTTTCTCTTTACTCCCCAGGTTCTGTTCACGATTTGCCCCTGGTTCAGTTTATCTCAGGACTGCAGTGGTCTTGTGCAAGAACGAACGGCTCAGCCTTGAATTCTGCAGGCAAAGTACTTTCTTTTGTCTGCGCCAAGAGGAATGTGTGTAGAGGCTGCTGCCTGAGGGCAGGGCCTACCTGGGCATACAGAAGAGCGTGCATATGGGAGGGCAGGGGGATGGGCGTGGGTGTGCACAGAGCAAGCACATCTGAGATTGGCATGCGGGCCAGAGCCGCTGTGTTGAGGGATGTGCTGCACTTCACAGGGAGAAAGAACCTGTCAGAACTTTACGTACAAGTGTGTCAGAACGCACACTCCAAGGTGTGCTCTGTGGTTTCTGTCCTGTCTTCACTGGGTGCAGGGCTGGAGGCCTCCCAGGTGTTCTCCTTGGTCCTTGTTGAGCTGCCCACTGTAGTATCCACAGTGCCCAAGTTCTCGCTGGTTCTGGCAATTAAATCTCAATCCTTCCCACTGGCTTAGACTAGACTTAGGAGGATGCCCCTCATGTGACCACAGTTTGAGATTTATACCATGTACCGCACATAGACACAGAAACATCATCCTGAAATAAAGAGTTCTGAGCAAAAATATATGTGTGAATATGTGTGTAAACTGTTAAAGTGGCTCACGCCTTAACCCCAGCACTTTGGGAGGGCGAGCCAGGCGGATCACTTGAAGCCAGCCTGGCCAACAATGGGAACCTGTCTCTTAAAAATACTGTTACCCCAAAACCTAAAATGGAAAAAAAAAAAAAAAAAAAAAAAATGTGACCTAAAAAAAACACTAAGCGTGATGGCTAAGCCCCTGTGCTAAACACGGTGGCCCACGCCTCTAATCACAGCTACCCAGGAGGCTGAGGCACAAGAACTGCTTAAACCCAGGAGGTGGTGGAAGCTACAGTCAGCTGAGATCACACCACTGCACTCCAGCCTGAGTGACAAGAGAGACACTCTCAAAAAATAAAAAATCAGGTAAAGGAATATTAACTAGAGTTAGAAACTAATTTCATTCCTTTTAGAATTCAACACTTTTCCTAGGTCACCACTTCTGTCTTTCGTTCTTACTGAGGAGCCAAGTCAGAGCCCCCTTCCTGGGAGTCAGTCATTAAATGGATTCCCGTCAGCTCAGCCCAGGGGAGGCAATGTTCAGGAACAGGAAGTGCTTTTGTCTGGGGAAACACGCAGGTGATCTGATGCTAGGGAGGAGCTGCTTGCATGTGGGTAAGAGCCCAAGGGGAAGCCACTGGTACCTGAAGGGGTGAGCCATCAGAGCTGGGCCTTGGTGCAGCCCCAGGAGCAGCAGCCTGTGCAGAACTAGGAGCTCAGTGGATTCTCCCTCCTAGGTCACAATCCAGCAGGTGGCCAGGACTCAGCCTGGGTTTTCAGTGAGTAATTCCTCCTCACTAGTCTCAGAGATTAGCTCTAGCGGTGTCACTGGAGGAAGCCCTGGGGCGGGGGGGCAGTGTGGGGACAAGGAGACCAGAGAGAAAGTGCTAGAATATTCTGGAACAGATGTTTCAAAGTCAACAGAACATGACCACCTTCAGAGGAAGAAGCTGGGCCATCTCCAATAAACCCAGAGACAAGTGCCTTCAATCCTCGGACTGTTCCAACAGAGGGGATGCTGTGTACCCCAGGGTTACTTTTCCAACTCATGTCAACACCTGCAGTCCCTTTGAGGAGACTAAAATGTATTTCCTGCTGAAAATAAAGGACAGGTTTTCTCTAACTAAAAACAGCCGTACTAAAGGAGACCAACATGCTAGAAGTATAGCACCAGGGCCTCAAGACTGCACTTCAGGACACGAAGAGGGCTGGGGGCTGCTCGGCCCGAGTCTGGATCTTCTAACCAGGGATGCTGAGCTTGCCCTCAGACAGGGACTTGGCACAGAGAAAGCAGACCCAGTCTGGGATTCTAGTCTGTTTCAGTTCAAGAGGGTCCCTGTCAGAAGAAAGCTTTTTCCATTCCGAGCTTCAGCAGAGTGAAGAGTTAAACACAGCAAGCAGGCAGGCAGGCAGGCAGGCAGCTCCTTTGCATATGTGTCGGGTGCCCCTGAATGTAAACAGCCCTACCAGTCAGCACAGCTCATAGCCTGGGAAGACAGTCCTGTGGCAGCCTCAGATGTCCGCTCAGTTCACATATTCTGGTTTGACCAAACATGTAAACCCGCCCAAGCTGTCTTCAGGCATGAGGTCTCATCAGAGATGGGATGTGGATGGCTCCTATGTCACCATTTCCTGTGTGGGGCAGCCGTCATCCTATTTGTCTGGTCCATCAAGCTGGAACACAGAAGACAGAGGTATCAGTTGTCTGTTAACATATCCAGGCAGCCAGCAGATCTCTGGTCACACAGATCTAGCTGCAGATATGCAAAATATTTCACAAAACAAGCTGCTTTCTGCAAATGATGCTGTTGTGCTGGGCTGCGAGGATCCCAACAGGCCTGGGCAGAACAGGGTGGCTAAATGGAGAGCCTCATTCTAAGGGAATTTAAGTACCCAAATCAAGATTTACTGATGCTCATGTGCTTAAAAATATTCACTATTTGGAAAAGTAACCCCTAGGATAGTAAATAAAAAACAAGAAACTCTAAAATCATAATACATTTCACAAAAATTTCTGTAAAATTATACAGTTCAAATCCTGTTGGGCCACTTCCAAAAATCCACAGGAGCTACCTGGGTTACAATCTGCTTTTTTTTTGAAAATAGGAAGTTGGGCCAGGTGTGGTGGCTCACACCTGTAATCCCAGCACTTTGGGAGTCTTAGGCGAGTGGATCACTTGAGGTCAGGAGTTTGAGACAAACCTGACTAACATGGTGAAACCCCGTCTCTACTAAAAATACCAAAATTACCCAGGCATGGTGGTGGCCGCCTGTAATCCCAGCAACTCGGGAGGCTGAGGCAGGAGAATCACTTGAATCCAGGAGGCAGAGGTTGCAGTGAGCCAAGATTGTGCCATTGCACTCCAGCCTGGGCGACAAGAGCGAAACACTGTTTCAAAAATAAATAAAGGAAGTTGTAGCAGGAAAAGGCTCCCTCAAAAAAAGCCTGCTAGGCTGATCTAAGATCTCTGCTACCTCATGAGCTGGCCAGGAGGCACTCGCCTCTCAACGTTTAAGCCTCATGTTAGCTGGGTCCCCTGCTTCCATAATGAAGTGATCGTGACTGGTAAAAACTCTGCCTGCAACGGGAGGCTGGGGGTCTTTGACTGGTGGAGGTGAAGAGAGTGCTGAACCCGTGGCCCTGAGCCACGTGGCAGGCACAGCTGTGGGCAAGGAAAAGGAATCAGGGTTTCCTGACGTCTGCCTTGGAAGACAAGAACATCAGCTGTGATACATTCTGGTTGACACGGTTTGGCTGTGGCCCCACCCAAATCTCACCGTGAATTGTAATAATCCCCACAAGTCAAGGGCAGGGCCCAGTGGAAGTAACTGATTCATGCCGGCAGATTTTCCCCGCACTGTTCTTGTGGTAGTGAGTCTCACAAGACCTGGTTTTATAAAGGGCAGTTCCCTGCACACATCCTCCTGCCTGTCGCCTTGTAAGACGTGACTCTGCTCCTCCTTTCCCTTCCACCGTGACTGTGAGGCCTCCCCAGCCAAATGGAACTATGAGTCCATTAAACCTCTTCCCTAGATAAATCACCCAGTCTCAGGTATGCCTTTGGTAGCAGCATGACAACAGACTCATACGCTGGTGAAATCCCCTTTGGACAGTGTCACACCTGCCTGTAATCACAACACAGGACTTTAAGTGCTTCATGCTACCTCCCATTGAAAACCCTTAATACCAAGGCTATACATGCTACAGGATTCTCATGGGAAAGTGCATTTTCCGTAACCTCACTTGTTTACAGGCAGTTTGGAACCTCTTAGAAAGCATCAAGGCTCTCTCTGGCTTTCCTCAGTGGTTTATAATAGATCGATGGCTTTCATAGCAATTACTTCCTGAAAGCATCACTAGGGTGGCCTTCATCCCACACAGGTGCAGAGAACTTTAGCTTCTCAAAGTGCTTTAACCCATATCTCAGAATCATTTACCAGGCCTTTGAGGTGCACTACTGGCTGCTCTATTTCAGGGTGAAGCTAACGCCTGTAGTGTGATAAGACGACAGACTCATCAGCCCCGAGTGCCTGGACCGTGTCCCTCCTGGCCCTGTTAGCATGTTTCTTCATCTCTAAATGAAGGTATTGCAAGTAATGCCCAGTCAGGTCCGGGCAGTGCCTGGTGCATGATTAACAGCATCGTCAGCTATCACTGTGTTACCATACCAGGGAGGAGGGCAGCCCCTTGAATGGCGCTGCTCAGCAGTCTGTACCTTCCCAGTTTCCCGCTGGACAAGGTCCCGCATCTCTTCTGTCCAGCCCAGAAGCTCCACTAGCCTTTCCACACTCTGAATCAGGTCCCCCAGCTGGGTCACGTCCCTGCTGCGAGGATGCCAAGCCAAGGTCCCCACCAAGTCCCAGTTGATGAGCAGTCGGGGAACTGAGCTCCGCACGGCCTCGGTCAAGCTGGCAAAAGGCTCCACCTGAAAAATGGCCCAAACGTGAGGGACACAGTGTCCACCCTACAAGCCCCTCAGGATGTTTCATGCCACAGCCACTGAGGCCTTGGAGGAGCAGCAGACTGGCAGGTCCTGTAAAACACGGAAAACCCACCACCAACCTGATTTCTTCAGTTGAGCTCCTGCCACCTGGCCTCAGTGACTCTGCTTCCTCCCCTCAGTCTCCCTCTCCTTCACTTCTTGCTGCTTCCAACACATCCTGGCCTCTCCCTACCTCCGGTTCAAGGTTCATCAGGGCTCCATCCTTCCTACCTCTTCCTTGTGAGCGCGTTCCATTCTCCCTGTCCTCCCCACCACGCTGTCTCCCAGCATGCCACGGAGGGACAAAGGACACTCGTCCGTCTCCTCTGGCTAGCCCTGCTCACTGTGACGGCCACCACCAGCCTCTGGCACAAGGAGGAGCTGGTGCCCCCGAACATCTCTCCATGGTCTTCACCACACAGCCTCTCAAGAGGCCTAACTTGGCGCCATCAGGCTTCTTCATACAGTTCTCAAAGCTTCTTTTAAGAGGAAAAATGTAAAACATAGATACATTAATAAATAGCATTAAAAATGGCTCACTATCTGGGGGGAAAATGCTCCATTCCCACCTCCCGCTGTAAAAAATTCAAATAAAAATTAAAAACAGTTCTTGAAGAAAATGTAGGGTTTACGAGTAAGGAAGAACTTTTTAGGCATGAAAACTGAAGTCAGGTTCCTTCCTCCTTCCCTCCTTCCCTCCCTCTCTATCTCTAAGTAAAAATTTAAAAAAAAGAAAGGAAACTAAAGTCAGATAAGGCAAAGGAAAGTGACAAATCTGACCATGTGAATACTATTACCTTGGTATCTACATAAAACTACTATGTAGAAAATTAAAAAATTTAAAAAACCTCTCATCATCATACACTGCAAAAATATTTACAATAAATGATAATAGTTTATATCACTAATGGATAAACTCATTTATAAACATATAATTTACTAATTTATAACGAAATTTATATTAAGGCCTGGACACGGTGGCTCACATCTATAATCCCAGCACTTTGGGAGGCCAAGCTGGGCAGATCACCTGAGGTCAGGAGTTCAAGACCAGCCTGGTCAACACGGTGAAACTCCGTCTCTACTAAAAATACAAAAATTAGCCAGGAGTGGTGGTGGGCGCCTGTAGTCCCAGCTACTCAGGAGGCTGAGGCAGGAGAATCACCTGAACCTGGGAGATGGAGGTTGCAGTGAGCCGAGATCGCACCACTGCACTCTAGCCTGGGTGTGAACTAAGTAAGACTCTGTCTCAAAAAAAAGAAAGAAAGAAATTTATAATCAGGAAAAAGGCTATTTTCATTTCACTTCAACAAAAGAGATGGCTGGTGGCCTGAGTGTCCACACCTGATGGCCAGCACGCTCAGCTCGGCTCAGTCCACACACTGCTGACCACCATGGCCCCTCTAACTGTTCCTCCTGTGTCTGTCCCTCCATTCTAGGCGTAGCATGGGCATTCTCATGCCCGTCCACACCCTGGGGTCTCCTATCTGCTCACTCCCAGCACCTCAGCTCTGTGGGAGAAAAGGCTCGTAAGTGCCAAAGCAGGAGACTGAAGCCTCAGTCCACTCCCGTTTAATAAACAGAATACAGAAAGAAGAATCTAGTTAGGAATAAGTATCGTGAGTCATTACATATCCGTCTTATTGAATATTAAGCCCTGATTAAAGCCTTCCTGTACTTTACGCATAATTTTCTAGGAACGTCAAGTTGCTGTGGTCAGGGACTGACAGTGGACACTATGGGATGTGGCCACAAGGCAAGAGCATCGACTGCTTTGATCAGCAGAGATGATCTGTGGAATGTGAAGCCAAGCCCTGTCACACCCACATAAGGGATGCTGGAGGGCATCAGAAATCTGTAGTACTGCCAGTGCTTGCGGAAGCACCTGCTACTCAGCAGGCATTAGAAGGGAACAGTCCCTGCCCCTGGGTGAGTCCGTACCCTCCACTCCCCCACGTGCTTGTGGAAGGACTGATACTGGTCAGCTACCCAGGGGCTTGTCTCTGTGTGGTGCTGTGCTATACTGGTTACAATCTGTGCCTGCTCTCACTCCCTGCTTCTGCACCTGGCTCCCCTTTTGTAGACAGTAAGAAGTAGCATAACTTTTGAAGCCTTTGTTCTTACTTGAAAGGCATAACCTAAAGTGCTAACATCTCGATGCCCCCACCCCCGCTTCGGCTACTTGCAAGCACTGGGCCCTTTGTTCCTTAGACTCATGACCCTGCTCCCCAGTTTTGTACCCAATGAAAGTCAGAGTGTCCAGGCACTCAGGGCCACTACCGAACTCTGCATACTAGGTGGTAGTGGACCTCTGGGCCCAACTCTTTCTCTTGATCTCGGTGTCTTGTGTCTATTTGTCTCTGCACCCGTAGAGAATACCCTCTAGACCCAGCAGGGCTGGACCCTATACAGCTCCTGCCACTGGTCCTTCCTGGACTCTGGACTCTGGACTCAGGTGTCCACCTGCCTGCTCGACACCTCCAGTCTGCAGCACATCATCGAATCCGTGGAAACAAGGCTGAGTTCCCCAAACCCACTTAGCAGGCTTCTCCATCTCAGGAAACGGTGGCTCAATCCTTCTAGCTGCTCCGGCCACAGCCCTGGAGTCCTTAGGAATCCACACCCTCCCATACACTGTGCCAGCGTGTCCACTCTGCATTCACACACACCCAGACTCCAGCACCCCTCAGCCTCTGCTGACTTTACCTGGCCCCCAGCCAGTGCCAGCCAGTGATCACCTACAAGGGCCCTGCTGGGTCTGCTGCTCCCATGCTTCCCCCCATGGTGGGCTCACAGCCCAGCACTCAGAGGACTCCTCTCAACAGGAAGCTGGAGTAAAGTGCTCCAACTTCCAGGCTCTGGCCTGGAACCCAAGCTGAATCCATTCATCTTCTGAGGTGGCACCAGCCTCCCCTGAGATGATCTTGTGCCCCACCTCCTTCTCTGCTCCAGCCCCATGCCCGTCACTGCTGACTTGGCCCCTCCCTCCTTGCTGCTTGTCACCTGTGCAGACCCCTCACCTGGGTTAACTCTTAGCTCCAACTCCACCTTCCTGACTGGACACTGCAGCTGGCTCCCAACCTTTCGAGCACGTCTATCCTGCTTATTATCTTTTCCACAGCATCAATCATCTCCTAACAAACTGTAACTTCTTATATTTACATCTGACTGTATGTTCAAAGCACCAGAACAGGGCCCAGCACACAGCAGGCAGCACCCAATGAATGCCTCAGCAAATACATGCTCTGGGCCCCTGCGGCCGGCCTGGGCCCTTCTGGCCCTTCTGCCCTTGGTGCCGGTATCCAGTCACACACACAGTGGCTTCATGGTCTCATTTCTTGCTCTAATCACAGCTTTTAGGAATTTCCAGAGCTTCAGACTCTGATGGAGAACAGCTGCTTGAACACATCCAGAGCGTCTCCCAGGCACCTCAGACACACAGCAGAACCAAGCTGGGCATCCTCCCTCCCAAATCATGCTTCACCAGCTAATGCCCTGACCTTATACACCAAGCCAGACACCTCCTTCTCACGCCCCCCAAAGCATCACAGGCCGCAAGTCCAGCCCCCTCCTTGCTGTCCCTCAGGTGCCCACAGCTCTAACTTCTTCAGGACCAGCCCCTGGCACTGCTTGCTCCAATCTCCACTCCCCAAAGGCCTCTCTGCCCCCAAGAGTTCAGCTACATCCCTGGGCCAGTCCCTTTGGGTTTATCACTACTCCCACCATAGCATCAGTATTCCTCATCTGACCTGGGAGGCCTGCCCCTCCACCTCACCCCCATACCCCGTTTCCTTCTCCATTCCCCTCACACATGGTGCCCCAGCCGCAACTATACCACCTACAAAGCCCAGCGGCTTCCCACCTTCCTTTCCCCTGCATGGGATGCTGCTCCCTCAGCCTGGAATCCCAGATGATCCACTCACCTTACAATAGTGGCACCAGCCCCTCAAGGCCCATGAGGTGACACTTGCACCCCGCCTTCCCCATAGTCGCTGAAGGCCCATGAGGTGACACCTGCACCCCGCCTTCCCCATAGTCGCTCAAGGTCCATGAGATGACACCTGCACCACCCCTTTCCCCATAGTCCCTCAAGGTCCATGAGGTGACTCCTGCACCACCCCTTTCCCCATAGTCCCACAAGGTCCATGAGGTGACACCTGCACCCCACCTTCCCCATAGTCGCTCAAGGTCCATGAGGTGACACCTGCACCACCCCTTTCCCCATAGTCGCTCAAGGTCCATGAGGTGACACCTGCACCCCCCCTTCCTCATAGTCCCTCAAGGTCCATGAGGTGACTCCTGCACCCTCCCTTTCCCCATAATCCCTCAAGGTCCATGAGGTGACTCCTGCACCACCCCTTTCCCCATAGTCCCACAAGGTCCATGAGGTGACTCCTGCACCCTCCCTTTCCCTATAGTCCCTCAAGGTCCATGAGGTGACTCCTGCACCCCCCCTTTCCCCATAGTCCCACAAGGTCCATGAGGTGACTCCTGCACCCTCCCTTTCCCTATAGTCCCTCAAGGTCCATGAGGTGACACCTGCACCCCCCCTTTCCCTATAGTCCCTCAAGGTCCATGAGGTGACTCCTGTACCCCCCCTTTCCCTATAGTCTCTCAAGGTCCATGAGGTGACTCCTGCAGCCCCCCTTTCCCTATAATCCCTCAAGGTCCATGAGGTGACACCTGCACCACCCCTTCCCCATAGTCCCTCAAGGTCCATGAGGTGACTTCTGCACCCCCCCATTCCCCATAATCCCTCAAGGTCCACGAGGTGACTCCTGCACCCCCCCCTTCCCTGCCCTCGGCCTCCTCCCTGCACAGGCCTGCTGACACACCTCCAGGGAGGTCCCAAGGATGAGCAGCAGATCTGCCATGGGGAAATCAACCACATGTAGCAAGAACCTCTGGGGCAGCGGCTCCCCAAAGAACACGATGTCGGGCTTCACCACGCCAGTGCAGACTGGGCAGCGGGGCACCCTGTCTGCCATCACGTCAGCCTGGGAAACACAGAAAAAGCAGGCCTGAGGAAGATGCCACAAGACACTTTAAAGGCAACAACTTCTTATTAAAGTATCAAATATTCCCCCCAAAAAGGGTGAGAGATGGACCATTAACCTCCATGTAACCAGCTTCAGGAATTACCAGTTTTCATAGCTAATTGTTTCACAGCCCTCCAGAATCTGCGAAGAGGTGTTAGGACATTTAAAAGCAAATCCTGGACATCATGTGATTTCACCCATAAATACTTCGGCAGGCATCCAGCACATCTAACACCATGCTCTGAACACCTGGGATGGTGACCAGAGACATTCAGGTGCTAAGGAAACACCTGGCAGACGGCAGCCTGCAGGCATTTGGCCTACACCGAACATTATTCAGTCACAAAGGTGGAACTGTCTCTGGGTCGAGCTTAAGAGATCATGGCATTGCCTCAGACCTGGGAGGCATTCAGGTCAGCTTCAGTCACTGGCTGGCATTACTAGGAATAACAACATGTGCCGAAGACTGCCTCCGTGCTGGCCAAGGGGAAGTGGACACAACTTCACTTTGCATCAAGATTAATATAAACTAATGCCTTGGGCCAGATGGAAAAGGGAGAGAGTTACAGAGGAAGACACCTGATTTTCTAAGGGAAACCTTTACAGCTAAGTGGGCTTGTTTTAAGCAGGCTCAATCCAGCAAGAAGCAAGAGAAACAAGAGACAAAAGAAAGAAACTCACAAAAGATTTCAGATATTCTTGGATACATAGTAAAACTGTATTATGTTTAAATTAAGAAGAAAAAACTGTTATCTTGGAGACTATGGGGTATAGTAAAAATAAAAGGAAATAAAAAAGATGAAATATCTATTAAAGATACAAAAGTATTAAAAAATAATGTAGCAGACTTGGAAAATAACCAAATATAACTTCTATAAATAAAAAGTAGAGGAACCAAAATGAAACTCAATGTCTGTTTCCAGTTGGTGTTTGGGAAAAAAGAAAGAAATATTCAATGGGAAGACTTTATTCTCTATAATAGAAGACGACATTAGTAAACTGGAAAATAGCTCACAAGAAATTACCCAGAATGCAGCACCAGGAGGAGCAAGGAGGGACAGGAGAGTGATCAGGAACTGCAGGTGAGGGAAGGTCTAATGTACCCTCAATCAGAGGTCCCTGAAGAGTGGGCTCAGAGGGCGGGCCAGGGGCAATTCATATCCAAGAGGTAACCGCAGAGTATTACCCGGCAACCATGGAAGATACCAACTCACAGAATGAGGGTCTCAAGCAAGTGAGGGCTACTGAGCCAGCGTGAGGGCACGACAGGAGTCACAAGCACAGTGTGGCTGTTTTTGTCCCAAGAGGTTCTCAGGAGGTTTAGTGTTTGTTTATATATTGTCCTTAAAAGGGGGAGGGTGGCTGTGAGGTGAATGGTTACATACTTTTGAGACTTCAGTAAGTGTACATTTTACAGAAGATAAAAGGAAACATTGTAGTCAACTGTTCAAAGAAAAAAAAGAAACAGAAAGAACAACTAAGCAGACATCTCAGGGAGGAAGAAGGAACCATTGATCTCCACTATCCACATTCGCAGGGTGGAGTCTAGAAAGAGCTGGTTTCTGTTTAACCCTAAGTGAAGAAAGTCTAATGGTGGTTGGGGAGGGAGGATATAATGGGGTGCCTCTAATCTCTTCTCCTGCACTGGGCAGGAACTCAAGTCCCCAAGGTTTCTCTGGGTTCCCCTGACCAAGGAGAGGGGTCCATTCAGTTGGTTGCAGGGCTTAGAATTGTATTTTTTATTTGTTTGAGATGGAGTCTCATTCTGTCACCCAGGCTGGAATGCAGTGGGGTGATCTCAGCATTCTACCTCCTGGGTTCCAGCAATTCTGCCTCAGCCTCCCGAGTAGCTGGGACTACAGATAGGTGCCACCACACATGGCTCATTTTGTATTTTTAGTAGAGACAGGGTTTTACCATGTTGGCCAGGCTGGTCTCAAACTCAACTCAAGTGATCCATCTGCATCTGCCTCTGCCTCCCAAAGTACTGGGATCACAGGCATGAGCCACTGCATCTGGCCTAGAATTTTATTTTTCTCAAGGAAGGCCTACAAATTTTAAGCAGAATAAATAAAAGGAAATTCATATGGAAAACAGCATGGAGAAACTGCAAAACTCCAAAGACAAAAGTCTTAAAAAAAAAAAACAGGCAGAGAGATTGGCCAGGCGTGGTGGCTCACACCTGTAATCCAAGCACTTTGGAGGCCAAGGTGGGCAGATCACCTGAGGGCAGGAGTTCAAGACCAGCCTGACCAACATGGAGAAACCCCGTATTTAAAAAAATTAAAATAAAATAAAATAAACAGGCAGAGAGGCCAGGTGTACTGACTCAAGCCTGTAATCCCAGCACTCTGGGAGGCTGAGGTGGGTGAATCACGAGGTCAGGAGTTCAAGACCAACCTGACCAACATGGTGAAACCCTGTCTACTAAAAATACAAAAATTAGCCGGGCATGGTGATGCACGCCTGTAATCCCAGCTACTCTGGAGGCTGAGGCAGGAGAATCACTTGAACCCGGGAGGCAGAGGTTGCAGTGAGCAGAGATCACGCCACTGTGCTCCAGCTTGGGTGACAAGACTCTGTCTTGTCTCAAAAAAAAAAAAAAAAAGAAACAGGCAGAGAACCCATAGCAACAATTTCTGAAATTTACATGAAAAGGCAAAAGACTCAGAATAGCCAACACAGTACTGAAGGAGAACAAAGCTGGAGAATTAAAACCAACCTATTGCCCTTATCTCTTTTATTTTCTTCCTTATTTATTTATTTTGTTTTGAGATGGAGTCTCACTCTGTTGCTCAGGCTGGGGTACAGTGGCGTGATTTCAGTTCACAACAGCCTCCGCCTCCCGGGTTCAAGTGATTCTCTTGCCTCAGCCTTCCGAGTAGCTGGGATTACAGGTGTGCCACCACACTTGGCTAATTTTTATATTTTTCAAAAAATACAAAAATGGGGTTTCATCATTTTGGCCACACTGCTCTCAAACTCTCAACCTCAGGTGATCCACCTGCCTAGGCCTCCCAAAGTGCTGGGATTACAGGCGTGAACCACCAGCCCTGCTCCAAATAATTTCTTTTAAATGCAAATCCCTTTACATAATTTTCCTGCCTAAAAAATCCTTCAGTGTCTCCCATGATCTTCAGGACGCAGTTGAAACCCTAACAGAGCAAGAGTCCTTGTATACTCCAGGACTCTGCTGCCAGAAACTGACTCTTACATCCATATGGCCTCACTTCTGAGGGGCTCCCTAGCCTGCCCTCTTCCTACTGCTGAGTAACTGACTCTTACATCCATACGGCCTCACCTCTGAGGGGCTCCCTAGCCTGCCCTCTTCCTACGGTGAGTCAGGACCTCTTCCAGCATTCAGTACATATTTGTAGTAAAACTCGTATGGCACCTAATTGTAACTGTTGGATAACTCCACCTTAATTTGTTTTCACATCCACAGACCCCAGCAAAGGACCTGGCACTGAGCAGACTAAACTATTTGTTGAATAAATTGGTCATCAATGAATGAATGCGTTGACAAAAAGAATAATATGCATATATGAAGTTTCTACTGTGTGCTGACTCACACTTCCTAATTTCAAAACTAAAAAAAAAACTAAACATGGAATTACCAAGCAATACTCCTAGGTATGTTTTTTATACTCAAAAGCATAAAAAGTCTCACACAAAGACTTGTACATGCATTCACAGCAGAACTATTCACAAGAGCAGCGAGGCAGGAACAACCCCAACACCCGTCAATGTATGAGGAGAGGAACGAACTGTAGTACATACATCAATGGAATATTATTTGGCCATACAACTGGACAAAGTACTAACACAAGCTACGGTGTCAATGAGCCAGAAGTATTTTTGGGAAATAACCGTGACACAAAAGGCCATTTGATTGCATTTACATGAAATGTCCAGAAAAGACAAATGTATAGACAGAAAGCATATCTGTGGTTGCCAGGGGCTGGAGGGAGAAGAAATGAGGAATGACTGCTTAATAGTACAAGGTCTTCTTTTGCGGTAATTAGCACATCCTGGAACTTGATAAGAGGCAATAGGTACACACACTGTGAATGTACTAAATGCCAATGAACTGAACACTTTAAAATGGCTAAGTTTATGTTACATCAAATTCACCTCAATAAGGCGGGTAGATCACTTGAGGTCAGGAGTTCAAGACCAGCCTGGGCAACATGATGAAATCCCATCTCTACCGAAAACACACCAAAAAAATTGGCTGGGCATGTAGTCCAGCTACTTGGGAGGCTGAGGCAGGAGAAGTGCTTGAACCCAGGAGACGAAGGTTACACTGAGCATAGATCACATGCAGCCTGGGTGACAGAGCAAGACTGTGTCTCAAAAAAAAAAAAAAAAAATTCACCTCAATAAAAAATAAGTAAATTTTTAAAAAATTATGTGCCATGTCTCTATTTCAGAGTTTTATATTTAAGATGTTTCAACTCTATCCTATCCTATTCTAAGAAACGCATTTTACAGAAATACAGATATTCATGGCAGCATAAGCATAGGTATCATTGCTGTATTTTTAATAGTGAAAATTACACACATCAAAGAATGTCCCACAATACAGGAATGGCTAAATATAATATCTATAGAAGTGAATAAAAAGGTTTAGCAGAACTGTAGGTATTGACACAAGAGTTCCATGACACTGCTCAGTAAAAACTCAAGCTGTAGAATACTAGGCTTCAAATGACCCCATTGCTGAATTTTTTTTTTTTTTTTTTTTTGAGATAGACTCTCACTCTGTCACCAGGCTGGAGTGCAGTAGCGTGATCTCAGCTCCCTGCAACCTCTGCTTCCTGGATTTAAGCAATCAATTCTCCTGCCTCAGCCTCCCGAGTAGCTGGGACTACAAGCACATGCCACCACATCTGGCTAATTTTCTTATTTTTGGTAGAGATGGGGTTTCACCATGTTGGCCAGGATGGTCTCCATCTGTTGACCTTGTGATCTGCCCACCTCGGCCTCCCAAAGTGCTGGGATTACAGGCATGAGCCACCGCAATCAGCCTGAAAAAAAAAAAATTTTAACTGCGTGTAGGTGTATGTACATAGGTACATGCATATATGTTTATATAAACATATCACTTTTTTTTTTGGAAAGGCCTGGAACATTATACACCAAGCTGTTAAAAGTGGGCAGCAGAGGCCAGGCACAGTGGCTCACGCCTGTAATCCCAGCCCTTTGGGAGGCTGAGGCGGGCAAACCACCTGAAGTCGGGAGTTCAAGACCAGCTGACCAACATGGAGAAACCCTGTCTCTACTAAAAATACAAAATTAGCTGGGCGTGGTGGCGTGTGCCTGTAACCCCAGCTGCTCGGGAGGCTGATGCGGGAGAATCACTTGAACCTAGGGGGCAGAGGCTGTGTAAGTTGAGATCACACCATTGCACTCCAGCCTGGGAAATAAGAGCGAAATTCTGTCTAAAAAAAAAAGTAGACAGCAGGGGCCAGGGGCCGTGGCTCATGCCTGTAATCCCAGTACTTTGGGAGGCTGAGGTGGATGGATCACCTGAAGTCAGGAGTTTGAGACCAGCCTGACCAACATGATGAAATATCATCTCTACTAAAAAATAAAAAATATATAAAAATAATAAAACTAGTGGGGTGTGGTAGCACACACCTGTAATCCCAGCTACTCAAGAGGCTGAGGCAGGAGAACTGATTGAACCCAGGAGACGGAGGTTGCACTGAGCAGAGATTACCCCACTGCACTCCAGCCTGGGCAACAGAATGAGACTCTGTCTAAAAAAAAAAAAAAAAAGTGGGCAGCAGGAATTGGCTGAAGGGGAGATTCATTTTCTCTACATATTTCTATATTGTCTTCAATTTTTTACCAGCGTACATTACTTTTCTAATTTACAGATAAAATTTTTCACACTATTGTTGTTTAATAATCCTTTACACACAGTGCTTATAAAATACCACTTTTCCAGATGACCCCAACAGCAGATAACTCACCCAGAAGTCTTCCCCTGGGAAGGGTCTTCGGCAGACTGTGCAGGTGGCAGAGGCAAAGGTTCCATGAGCTTCAACCAGCTTTGAGTCAGGGATACCTGATGCTGAAATTCAAGCCAAAGCTAAGTGTTGCTGCTGCCTCTGGAGTGAGCACACAGGTCCAAAAGCACCACTTCTGGGCTTGGCAGGCCTCCTGGAAGAAGGCACAACCCCTTGGGGTTGTGATATCCTCAAGCCTTATGTCCATGCCCATATCACCTGCAGATCATGCACCACCAACCAGAATAAGGCATGGGAGTAAAGGGGCTCCCAGCTGGAGTCAAATCACAGTTAAAACAAAGCCTGTCAAAACTCAGTACGAAAATTCATTTGATGTAAGCTCCAATGAAATTATATCCAGCCAGGCACGGTGGCTCAGGCCTGTAATCCCAGTACTTTGGGAGGCTGAGGTGGGTTGATCATTTCAGGTTAGGAGTTTGAGACCAGCCTGGCCAACACGGTGAAACCCTACCACCACTAAAAATATAAAAATTAGCCGGGTATGGTGGCGGGCACCTGTAATCCCAGATACTCAGGAGCCTGAGGCAAGAGAATCACTTGAACCCAGGAGGCTGAGGCTGCAATGAGCGGAGACTACACCACTGCACTCCAGCCTGGGAAACAAGAGCGAAACTCTTTTATCAAAAAAAAAAAAATTATACCCAATACCAGGCTGGACGCAGTGGCTCACGCCTGTAATCCCAGTGCTTTGGAAGGCCAAGGGAGGACAATCACTTGAGGCCAGGAGTTTGAGACCAGCCTGGGCAACACAGTGAGACCTGATCTCCAGAAAAAAATGTAAAAACTACCCAGGCATGGTAGTGCATGCCTGCAGTCCCAGCTATTCCAGAGGCTGAGACAAAAGGATCAGTTTAGCCCAGGAGTTCGAGGCAAAAGGATCACTTCGGCCCAGGAGTTCAAGGCTACAGTGAACTATGATCATGCCACTGAACTCTAGCCTGGGCAACAGCGCCAAGACCCTGTCTCAAAAACTGACATCCAGTACCTAGGAACATTTTCTATTCTATAGATACCAAGTTAAAATGAGGATATAAATATCATAAATTCCAAAAGAACTGCTTGGCAGAAAAACAGACAAAAAGTGACTTCTTATGAAAGTTGTGTTACTATCGTCTGGCTCTGAAGCACTGTGGTGGCACAGCCAGGGTCCCAGCTGTAGGACGCTCCCCAAGCCCCTACCACTCAGCAGTCCTGCATCTCTCAGCCAGAAGTGCCCACCTTCCCACACGGCCTGCCCTGCTGCACCTCTGGGAGAAGAGACCACCAATATGGGGTAGCCACTGCTGCCTCTGTGGCTCCAGGCTAGGGAATCCTTCTGGCAAGGAAACATATACCTGGAGCCAAGGTGTCTCCTCTTTTTAACTGACAACACATCTGCAGACTGGCTGAGCTGCTCCGCACCTGTCTGCATCACTGCATGTAAGGAAAAGACCCCATCAAGTGCTTCCCTGAGGTGCACAGCCAGAAGTCGGCACAACCTGTGAATCGCTGGTTTGGGCACCACGTGGATACAGTCAAGAAATCGCCACAGGCTGAGTGTGACATTATTAAGGAATTATAAGAGATTCTTCAGCGTGAAAATGGTACCAAAGTTGTTAATTTTTATTTGTTATTTTTATTAATTTATTTTTGAGACGGAGTCTCTCTGTCACCCAGGCTGGAGTGCAGTGGCACAATCTCAGCTCACTGTAACCTCCACCTCCCAGGTTCCAGCGATCCCAAGTAGCTGGGATTATAGGGGCACATCACCACGCCCAGCTTTTTCTATTTTTAGCAGAGACAGGGTTTTCCCATGTTGACCAGTCTAGTCTTTCCCATGTTGACCAGAACCCCCAACCTCAGGTGATCTGCCTGCCTCCCAAAGTGCTGGGATTACAGGTGTGAGCCACTGCACCCAGCCAGAGTTGTTTTTCAAGTATCCTCTAGAGATACCTATTCATGTATTTATAGATTATTTCTAGATTAAATTCATGGTATCAGGGATTTGCTTCACAATAATCTGGGGATTTGGAAGAAAGCAGTGAGGACGCAGGAAGAAGGACTTTGGACTGGCTACGTGCTGGTGATGCGGACAGGATGCTTCATTATGCTTCATTTTTCTCTTGATTTGCATGTGCTCAATAAAATTCCGTAATACAATTTTTAAAAGAGAACAGAAGGCCGGGCATGGTGGTTCATGCCTATAATCCCAGCACTTTGAGAGGCTGAGGCAGGCGGATCACCTGAGGTCAGGAGTTCAAGACCAGCCTGACCAACATGGAGAAACCCTGTCTTTACTAAAAATACAAAATTAGCTGGGCGTGGTGGGGCGCACCTGTATTCCCAGCTATTCGGGAGGCTGAGGCAGGAGAATCGCTTTAATCCAGGAGGCGGAGGTTGTGGTGAGCCGAGATTGAGCCATTGGACTCCAACCTGGGCAACAAGAGTGAAACTCCGTCTCAGGGGGAAAAATAAAAATTAAAAAAAAAAAAAAACAGAAAAAAGAGATAATCACACCAGATTAGCAAAACGATGTCAACTTCTGCCCAAAACGCACAGCTCTGCAGGTATGCCAGGAGAGCAAGCAGTGGCCTTTAAACACCCTGAAAACATTTTCCTTGGGAATAAAGCCCTAACTGGTTGGCTCTAAAACAGTCCCAAGGAAGAAGCATAAGCACTAGGTCTTGGCCCTCCCCAGAAACAAGCACCTGAGCCTTCCCTGTGAGGAAAAGAATGTGTGAGATGGACAGAGGGCTCACCTCTCTCAAGCCCATCGATGTTCTGCGTGTAGAGCCGCAGAAGCAGCCCCTTGTCATGAAGCAGCCGGAGGAAGTAGTGAGTGACATTGGGCTTGTAGTTCCCAGGGTACAGCTCCTTGGCTAAAGTGAAAAAGGGCTTGGGGTTGTGGAAGAAAAATGGAAGCTCAAAAATGGCCTCGGGGTACGGGAGATTGTACTTCTGGAGGTTGCTGTACAGCCCACTCCCCGGAGATCTGCAGAGAGAGAAGGAAGAGGCTCTGAGGACTTTGGAAGAGGACAGGAAAGTGGCGTAAACTGGGCAGTGGGGAGGGCGGGAGGCAGGGAAGGGGAGTGCAGAAGGCAGGTGGGACTGCGAGCAGTACCTGAAGTCTGGAATGCCACTGGGTGTGCTGATGCCGGCCCCCACCATGACCACCACCCTCTGGCAGGCTCTGGCCCGAATCAGCTCAGCCACATCCTGCAGAGAAAGCTTCCCCTTGTCATTGCTGCCTCCACTTCCAACACTTGAAGCACCCACAGAAAAAGATATAGGCCTTCTTCCACCTTTAAAACTGACAGAAAAAAACAAAGCAGCAAAGGAAACAGATAGCAGCCCATCTCAGGGTAGCAAGAACGAGCACGGTTCTACCCTTTGCACCAATGCCACCATTGAGATTGACCATGCACATCTCTCCAGACCTCCCAAAATAATCAGCTTTTTCAGCTGACTATTGGGCTACCATGGAAAGCAGTCATAAATCAGAAATCGACACTTATTTGGGAGCAAAAAATTCAGCTTAATGGAAACTGAGCTCATTTCATAATTCAGGACACTCAGTGGGTACTCAGTGCTCTGAGTGCAAACCTCCAAAGGGGTTTTCTAATGAAAACTGGTCAAGTTGTCAAGAAGGAAAGAGGGAAAGCTCTGGCTCTGAAAGCATCCCACCTGTTCAACGCCCGCTTCACACAGCATGTCAGACCCCTGTTCACTTCAGGCTGTTCCCCAAACCGCTACTAAACATGCACCGTTAGGAGAATCACAAAAGGGGTGAAAGTTACTATTGCTGTTGATGGCAAGGTATCGCCCACTGGTGGCGAGGTATCACAGAGGGTGCCTGAAGTACGCTCCTCACCTACATAAACAGTGTTTGTGACTGAAAAACACATAAATGGAGTTTTCAAATGTCTGGAACATAATTAAGATGTATGGCTTAAAGTATATACTGCTTGGTGTGAAATTCACTGGGAGTAGGGGGCCTCTGAGGGGCAGCCATGGGTGCAAACTGGGAGGGACACTGTGCAAAGGACACAAAGGACAAACTCAAAAATCTAAAGCTAAAGGGCAGATTCCAAACTGCAGAAAGCCCATGCAACAGACTCCTCCTCACAGGCAGCCCTATGCCTCCTGCTTTAGGGCCAGTGGTAGCGAGGATTTAACAAGTCTTGGAGTATCCCTGATACTAGAATGTGCTCCACGCATTTGCGGGTCCTGGTCCCTGCCCTATCTACAGCACCTACAACAGAGTCTGGCACGGAATAAGAGCTCAGTGAGGGCTTCTTGGATGAATCACAGAAGGCTCTTCTTTTTCTTTCAGGCTCTTTCTTTTTTTCTTTTGAGACAGTTTCACTCTTTAGCCCAGGCTAGAGTGCAGTGTCGAGATCTCAGCTCACTGCAACCTCCGTCTTCCGGTTTCAAGCGATTGTCCTGCCCCAGCCTCCCCAGTAGCTGGGATTACAGGCGCCCGCCACCATGTCTGGCTCATTTTTGTATTTTTAGCAGAGACAGGGTTTCACCATGTTGGCCAGGCTGCTCTTGCACTCCTGAACTCAGGTGATCCACACACCTCTGCCTCCCAAAGTGCTGGGATAACAGGCATGAACCACTGCGCCCAGCAGACTCTTGAGGATTTTTCTATTAAAGTTGTTTTTGTTTTTGTTTTTTTCAGGTAGATACGGTCTTGCTGTCACCCAGGCTGCAGTGCAGTCAGCATTCAATCATAGCTCATTGCAGCCTTGAACTCCTGGACTCAAGGGATCCTCTTGCCTTAGTCTTGGGAGTAACTGGGACTACAGGCTCGAACCACCATGCCCGGCTAATTTTTAACTGTTTTGTACAAATGGGGGGGTCTCGTTATGTTGCCCAGGCTGGTCTTGAACTCCTGGCCCCAAGCAATCCTCCTGTCTCAGCCTCCAAAAGTGCTGGAATTACAAGTGTGAGTCACCACTTCGGGCCTCACTCTTCATCAGTATTTTCAGTAGCTGTGTCAGACAGCATCTAGTGAATGTACTATTATCTATCCATTATATTCACCCATTATTCATCCTAATATTCATCCTAATAATGGATCCTAAATATTCATCCATTATAATTATGGATCCTAAATATTCATCCATCTTAATAATGGATCCTAAATATTCATCCATCCTAATAATGGATCCTAAATATTCATCCATTATAGGGCATTTGATACCTAACAACCATGGACCTTAAGATTTCTTCGTATGTAGGCAGTTCCCAGATGCAATTGCTATGGAGACAGGTATGATCACACGCCTGTGGGAGTATTAACCGCACAACATTTATGAGGGATAAAGTGTTAAATGCATATACTTTTGGACCTAGCAGTCCCAGTACTTGCAATTTATGCAAAAAGTGAGGTGCCAACAAGGTCATTCGCCACAGCGTTATGTACAATAACTAAAGGTTAGAAAGTACTTCAATGAGGGAATGCTGAAATAAACGACAAAACTCCCGTAAGGGACGTCCACAGATCAGCATCAAGACGGGGACGCCTGGTGTTGGAACGGAAGCAACACGCCGCAAAGGAAACACTGCACGGTGAGAAAGGAGGGCGAGGTGCCGACAACGAACACGCAAGAAGTGCTTGTCCTCGCCCAAAATACCTGGAAAAGAAGAAACACGGAGCCGCTGCCCTCGGCCGCCTCCGGAATGCCCTGGGCAGCGCGGGTCTGGGAGGCCTCTGCAAAGGGCGCACGGGACCCAGGGGCTCACCGCGGACCCCACGGCTGCCTCCAAGCCCCGCACCGGCACCGTCTCTGCCGCCAAGCACCAGCCGACAGCCGCAGGCCAGGAACCGCCCCACGCCTCCCCGGGCCTCTGCCCGTACAGCTACGGAGCCCCACAGCCGGAGGGGGGCCGCACTGTGCCAACCGCACAGCGCCATGTTCCCGGCAGCCCTGAGTCCTGCGGGCTCGCCCCGCCTCCGCATCCACGCTCCCCGCGCGCCCCGGTAGACGGAGAGGACGAGTGGAGGCGGTTCCCTAGTCTGGGGTCTGACTCCCCTCGCCCTGGGAGCCAGCAATGCTGTACCCTGCGCTCACACCTTTTTCAACCCGGATGGCGGTGACAGTTAAGCCTTCCTGAGCGCTTTTACCGCAGCCAGGCATTATGTTTACACCTGGTCCTTGCAAGACAGCACTGGCAAGGTCCTCACTGGAGTGGAGCAATCCCGAGTCACAAAGGCTGACACCACAAAAAGCTTTGTGGCCGGTTCGACCACAGGCGCCTATACTCTTTAACGCCTCAGTGACACGGCGAGGTGCGCGAGGAGTGGGTTGCAAACGCGGCAGAGACGTTTGTCCCGAGCGTAGAGACGCGAGGTGACCGAGCAACCAACGGACCCCGCCCTCGGCCGACCGCGGCGCTCCCAGCCTGCCCTGCGTCGCGCGGCGCCGGAAGTGAGTGAGCATTTCCGGCAGCCATCCCTGTGGTGCTGACATTCCCAACTGTTCCGTCCCGGGGGTCTTCCTGCTGTCATGAAGGACGTACCGGGGTTCCTACAGCAGAGCCAGAGCTCCGGGCCTGGGCAGCCCGCTGTGTGGCATCGTCTGGAGGAGCTCTACACGAAGAAGTGAGCGCCAAGCAGACGGGCCCTGGGCCCCGGCGCGAGAGCGCGACGGAGGGAGGGGCGGGTGGGGGAGCGGGCCCATGATGGGCTGAGGGCGCTCAGACCCGGGTTGGGGGGAGACGGGGACGGGTGAGGACCGGCTGTGCCGGCGAGGTTTGCTGAGGAACCCCGAGTGGCAGGGTCGAGGAATGAGAGGGACGGCAGACCGCGAGGGCCGAGCGCTGTAGCCAGGGTGTTTATTTGGGTCTGAGATTCACTGCTTCCTTTGGAGACCTGGGACTGAGGCTTCTGAACTCCTCTACCTTTGCTCTTACGAAAACGGTTCAGGGGTGGCCTTGGATTTTAGCTCTTGATTCCAGTGAAACAAGCAAACACGCTTTGAGGGCCACGTCGCCACCCACTTTGGGAAACAGATCTTGGTGATTCATACTTAGCCTTGTCGTAGTGTGACTGTATGTACAGTTACCTTTCTCACGGTCCGGAGCCGATAACCAGAGGCTAGTGCAGCTTTGCTGTCTTCCCTATGCACCCTGTGCAACCACTTACCCTCTCCCATTGTCCCCACCAGGCTTTGTGCCCCCAGAAAGGTCTTAAAGTTTAGGTTTGTTTAGAAACAGGATGAATTGCAGAACAATTGTTACTAAGCACTAACCTCATTTTAAAAATGAATAGACTGAGTTGTTGGCATTGGGCTGGAGCTATTCCGTAGAGAATCCATCTCCTGTGAGAACCTCCCCGTTAACAACCCTAGCATTTAATATAATACGTTTCACGTGGATGTTGCAGACATGTTTTCATATCAGCAGCCTTCTGCTGTTAGTTTTTGAGAGCAAATTGGTGTTTGTCAAATAATGGTTTGTGTTGGACAGCACTTGGTAGTTTTCAAAGCATTTTATCTGCGTTATTAAATACTAACCTTTGGGTTTTGGGGAAGTGCTATGTCACTGTCCTGAAGGTTTTATATATTAGCTTATTTAATCTTTTATTCACCCTTTTCACAGATGAGGAAACTGAAGCTCATTTTAATTGCCTTCCTAGCTAATAGGTAGAAGAGCCAGAATCTCAGGTTAGATATGTATGATTCCAAAGTTCTTGTTTCCAGTCAAACCTCACAATAATTCTTTGAGGTAATGTAGAACAATGTTCTCCATTTCATACCTGGGGAAACTGAGTCTTAGCGAAGTTAAGTGATCTCAAAGTGACGTAACCACTGAGTAGCAGAGCCAGGAAAAGAACTCGGGTGTATCACATCTGCTTTAGCATTGTTTCCACTACACAGTAGAGACCGGTTAGTATGGATTTAACATCTGTTATCAGAAATGCACTGGGGATCCAGACGGGTGGCTCATGCCTGGAATCCCAGCTGCTCGGGACACTGAGGCAGAAGAATCATTTGAATCTGGGAGATGGAGGTTGCAGTGAGCTGAGATAGCACCACTGCACTTGAGCCTGGGCACCAGAGTGAGACTCCATCTCAAAAAAAAAAAAAAAAAAAGAAGAAGTGAAATGAAATGAATTGGGGCAAAAGATTTTTGGGTTTAGTATTTTTTCAAATTTTGGAATGTTTGCGATGTAAACTTACCTGTTCAGTATCCATAATTCAAACATCTGCAATCTGAAATACTCCAACGGTCATCTCCTTTGAGCCTCATGCTGCTGCTCAAAAAGTTTTGGATTTTGGAGCATTTCGGATTTTAGAGTTTCGGCTTAGAGATACCCAACCTGTATTTGTGACTTGATAAGACCATCAAGGCTGAAGGTATCTGTGACTGGTATTAGTTTAGAGGTCTTCAGTGCTGTATGTTTTTCAGGTTGTGGCACCAGCTGACACTTCAGGTGCTTGATTTTGTGCAAGATCCGTGCTTTGCCCAAGGAGATGGTCTCATTAAGGTAAATAATTGTTGGCCATGCCACATCAGATTATGTGAATGTGCTAAAGGACTTTTTAAAATAAGGTCGGCTTTATGCTAGCGATAGTAATAAGCTACAACTTCGGCGATCACTTTCCGTCAGGTACTGGTCTGAGTGCTTCACACGGCAATCACTTTCCGTCAGGTACTGGTCTGAGTGCTTCACATGGCAATCACTTTCCGTCAGGTACTGGTCTGAGTGCTTCACACGGCAATCACTTTCCGTCAGGTACTGGTCTGAGTGCTTCACACGGCAATCACTTTCCGTCAGGTACTGGTCTGAGTGCTTCACACGGCCTTCATAGCAACATTGGCCAATGAGTACTACTATCATCTCACTCTATTGCTGTAGAAGCAAACACAAAACCAAGTAACTTACCATGGGTCACTGCTGATAAGTGGCAGAAGAGGATTCAAACACTGACATCTGGCTTTTTCTAAAATTCTAGCATAAAGTGCTATCTTACAGCATGCCTGAGTATCTTATTGTTCGTAGGCTTCTTTTAGTACTCTACTTTTAGAAAACTGTTATTCAGAAATTGAAAGTTGAGACCGAGTTAGAGGGTGGGGTAAGGTATGAGGAAGACTTCTGTCTATCAGAATCTTAGACCCCTTCCTTCAGCCGCAGTGACTGCTTGCTTGTCCAGACACTTCTGTCCTGGGTTATGTGGAGGATAAAGCACATTTTCTACTTGGGTCGAGGGTGGGTGGATTAGACGGAGAGCCCTAGATAATGTCACGCTGCCTCTATAATACAGTACTTTTAGAATTCTTTCAACGGGAAAAAAATATACACACTTTCTTTTCCAGCCTTCCCCAGATCCGCTAACATATCCCCACAAATTTGCTCACTGGTAGCCTCCTCTTGGAAGCTTTTCCTGACATCTTACTCTATGATGCCTTTCTCTGATTCTGAATGAATCAGATTCATAGCAGCATTGTAACTGATAGCTAGCTTACAATTACATCTTGAGTTATTTCTCCTGGATACGTTGCTTTAATGTGCTGACAATCGAGCTTACCACCTTACTGCCCTGCCACCTGGACTTGTAAGGTTTTCTTGTGGTTTATAGCCATCAAGTTGACATTTTACTACTCGAAGGAACTTAAAACCATCTTTAAACCTGGAGATCTTGCTGAATATTCTCTCTTTCAGATTACGTGGGAAAGTGATAAATAAGACCTGTCTTTTTGGGGTTTGTTTTGTTTTGAGACGGAGTTTTGCTCTTGTCGCCCAGGCTGGAGTGCAATGGCACGATCTTGGCTCACCGCAGCCTCCACCTGCGAAGTTCAAGCAATTCTTCTGCCTCAGTCTTCCAACTAGCTGGGATTACAGGCGCCCACCGCCACATCCAGCTCGTTTTTGTATTCCTTAGTAGAGACAGGATTTCACCAGTGTTGGCCAGGCTGGTCTTGAACTGCCAACCTCAGGTGATCCACCCACCACAGCCTCCCAAAGTGCTGGGATTATAGGCATGAGCCACAGCACCCAGTCTGAGACCTATCTTAATACTTGTTTCCTAAGGTTCTAAATTATCATGACAGATGATTCATAATTGTTTATCCTTCGCTTTCTTATGTTTAAATCACTTTTCTACACATGGCAAAAACATTTCCTAAACCTCACAGTAAGGTGATTTTATTTAGGTTGGCAGATTTGAGTTGACTTTTCCCATGGACAAAATAAACCTTTAAAAAATGTTTGGGATCCAGCCAACGTAAGTGTACAGTGGACAGTATTTATGAATTTGTAATCACCAGAAATAATTTTGACTTTCTGGGCTTAGTGGGCTTCTTTTTTAAGGTAATTTTTTAGATTAATAGATGTCAGGAAAGTTCAAACATTTCCTTCTAACAAGGAAGATACCTTTGAAACAGTCACTTGTAGTAAAAATGCAATTTTATTTATTTATTTGTTTATTTTTGAGATGGCATTTTGCTCTTGTTGCCCAGGCTGGAGTGCAGTGGCACAGTCTTGGTTCACTGCAACCTCCGCCTCCCAGGTTCAAATGATTGTCCTGCCTCAGCCTCTACATTAGCTGGGATTACAGGCACCCACCACCATGCCTGGCTAATTTTTTAATTTTTGGTAGAGATGGGGTTTCACCATGTTGACCAGGCTGTCTCAAATTCCTAACCTCAGGTGATCCACCCACCTCAGCTTCCCAAAGTGCTGGGATTATAGGAGTGAGCCACTGCCTGGCTGCTATTTAATTTATTTGGGGGGATAGGGGCATAGAGTCTCACTCTGTTGCCTAGACTGAAGTGCGATGGTGGATCTCAGCTCACTGCAACCTTCATCTCCTGAGTTCAAGCCATTCTCATGCCTCAGCCTCCCGAGTAGCTGGGATTACAGGTGTGTGCCACCATGTCCGGCTAATTTTTGTAGTTTTAGCAGAGATGGGTTTCGCCATGTTGGCCAGGCTGGCCTTGAACTCCTGTCCTCAAGTGATCCAGCCACCTCGGCCTCCCAAAGTGCTGGATTACGGATGTGAGCCCTGTGCGGGGACAAAAATTGCATTTTATTTAGTTGGCTGTTTCTTGCGTGCCAGATTTGAATATGCAATTGCCACAGGGATGTTCTCATCTTTCTACCTTCATATTCCAGAGGAACTACAGGGTCTCCTAATCCAAAGTTAAGGTCATTTGGAGGTTCCCTCTCCTACTGTGCCCACACTAGGCACTCTTTTGGCCCAGTTACCTAGCCATAAGCTCTTGTCAGCTCTCATTCTCTGTGACCAGCCCACATCTGAGTGAGTCTGGTTCACGTTACCCTTGAACCTCTCAGATTGTCCATCCATCCTCACCACTGCTTCTCCCTAACCTCTCACATTGTCCATCCATCCTCACCACTGCTGCTCCCTAACCTTTCACATTGTCCATCCATCTTCACCACTGTTGCCCCCTGACCTCTCAGATTGTCCATCCGTCCTCACCACTGTTGCTCCCTAACCTCTCAGATTGTCCATCCATCCTCACCACTGTTGCTCCCTGACCTCTCACATTGTCCGTCCATCCTCACCACTGTTGCTCCCTAACCTCTCAGATTGTCCATCCATCCTCACCACTGTTGCTCCCTAACCTCTCAGATTGTCCATCCATCCTCACCACTGTTGCCCCCTGACCTCTGACATTGCCCATCCATCCTCACCACTGTTGCTCCCGACCTCTCACATTGTCCATCCATCCTCACCACTGTTGCTCCCTATCCTCTCACATTGTCCATCCATCCTCACCACTGTTGCTCCCTGACCTCTCACATTGTCCATCCATCCTCACCACTGCTGCTCCCTGACCTCTCACATTGTCCATCCATCCTCACCACTGCTGCTCCCTATCCTCTCACATTGTCCATCCATCCTCACCACTGTCGCTCCCTAACCTCTCACATTGTCCATCCATCCTCACCACTGCTGCTCCCTGACCTCTCACATTGTCCGTCCATCCTCACCACTGCTGCTCCCTGACCTCTCACATTGTCCATCCGTCCTCACCACTGTTGCTCCCTGACCTCTCAGATTGTCCGTCCATCCTCACCACTGTTGTTTCCTCACTCTCCTATCTTGGCCAGTGCTAGCCTCTGACTGGCCTCTCTCAGTCTCTTTCACCCGCTGTCCTCTCTGCCCTAGGCATGTTTCTAAAATAGAAATGTGATCATGTGTCTCCACCAGTTCAGCATTGCGTTCTGGGCAGAGACCAGTCTTCAGTGCTTTCTAGTCTGTGTCCCTCAGAAATACTCCTGAAACATAATGTATTTTTTTCTTCCTTGCCTTTGCACATGTTTGTTGCTGTCTGGAATGTTCTCTCAATTTCTTTCTCTCCCAAACCAAGTGGCCACCTCTCTGAATTGCCCTCATTCCTTGAAACTCAGGATTGCCACTTGTACAAAAGCTTTGAAGCCTCTCCCTTTGGCTGATCCCCTTCTGTGTTTTTTTTTCTTTTTGCTCTTAAATTCACTCTTGTAATTTATTTGTTTAAAGACTATCTTCAGTAGACCAAGAGCTCCTTGAAAACACATCATTTGTCTTACACAGTCTGTGTTACAGTACCTAGCATAGAGTCTGAGGAAATGCTGAAGTATGGAATGGCTAAGAAATTTGATAATGGTGCATAGTTAGCCTTAACCTTCTAAAATCTGAAGGAACTCCATTCCATTTGATTAGTGAACCTTTATTCAGTTTTTATTTCATTAATTTAATTGGTGAACGAAATGTGTATTTCAAATCTAATTGAAATTTATCTGAAACATGTTTACACAGACGATACACACTTCTTATACAGTCCATTATTCATTTTTAAATATTCTTTCTTCCAAAAAAGCTGCATTGAAAGACAAAAAATTCTTTGATACTGTGTAAAAGTGAGATGCAAACTTTTTTTTTTTTTTTTTTGAGACAGAGTCTCACACTTCGCCAGGTGCCAGGCTGGAGTGCAGTGGTGCGATCTCGGCAACCTCCGCCTCCCGGCTTCAAGCAATTCTGTCTCAGCCTGCTGAGTAGCTAAGACTACAGGCATGCGCCACCACATCCAGTTAATCTTTGTATTTTAGTAGAAGCGGGGTTTCGCTATGTTGGCCAGCATGGTCTCAATCTCTAGACCTCATGATCCGCCCGCCCCGGCCTCCCAAAGTGCTGGGATTACAGGTGTGAGCCACCGTGCCCGGCCTGAGATGCCAACTTCTGATACAAATTTATTTCACTGTCAACTTCGATGATAAAGATGGGAGGCACAGGGCATCATGGTTCAGGTAAATGATGCAAACCAGAAGCTTCTGTCCATTCAGGTCTCCTACAGCAGAGCCACATACTTGACGCTGATACTAGGTGACTTCTTTTCTTCCCTTCCGTTTCGTAGTTCCCTCTCCTTGCTGAAGACGTTGGTCACCACCTCCCATCTTTCCTGTCCTTGTGTTTGGTTTAGGTGTTGTTTATGCTGCACACAACACTGCTGACTACGTGATGGGAAATGTACAAGACGGAGACTGCCGTCTCCCTGTTTGAGCTGAACCCACACTCTGCCTTTATATTGGACATTGCGATTCCATTCTCTAGACCACATTTTATTTTTCTCAAGAAATACATTAGTCCAGCCGCTGAACATACATCTTGAATCTCTAGCTGTAGGGTTTTCAACAGTTTTACTTAAGGGGATTCACCTTCCTTCCACAGTGGTCTTATTATTATTTAAATAAGCAGGATAGATACAAGTACACCTGTCCTGGTCAGCCAGGGACCACACGGCAGCTCAAACTGTCTTCACAGCGGTCCAAACAGCAAGCCCATAAGCCACAGGGAGGAAACTGGGGGAGCATTTCAATCTGATAGTCTATTTAACTTATAATACCTGGAAGAAAGAATATAGGCATTTCTCTGGAGGTTCTTATAGGTCAGTAGTCTAATTCCCAAGGCTAGAAGAAACCTAATTTTCCTTAATAATCTGTTGATCTTTTTTTTTTTTTTTTTTGTCGAAATGGGGTTTTGCTCTGTTGCCCAGGCTGGAATGCAGTGGTGCAATCTCGGCTCACCACAACCTCTACCTCCTGGGTTCAGGCAATTCTCCTGCCTCAGCTTCCCAAGTAGCTGGGATTACAGGCGTGTGCCACCACACTTGGCTAATTTTTGTATATTTAGTAGAGATGGGGTTTCACCATGTTGGCAAAGCTGGTCTTGAACTCCTGACCTTGGATGATCTGCCCGCCTCAGCCTCCCAAAGTGTTGGGATTACAGGCGTGAGCCATCGTGCCTGGCCCAATAATCTGTTGATCATTTATGTGAATTGATATAAGCCCTAATATGGTCTCCTGTCATTCTGAAAACATTTATGCATTGCTTACTATGTGATGGGCATTGTGGTTTGCACACTCCTAACTGGATAGCATTGATGCAGCTGCTTTACTAAAAATCGTGTTTGGGGTCTTTGCAGAATAAAAGACATCCTGTAATTTCTCTCCGTGTTTTGGTTCCACAGCTTTATGAAAACTTCATCAGTGAATTTGAACACAGGTAAAACCTTTTCCTCAGTTTTTTACTTTGAAAATGAGTATATTGATACTCACTGGTACTCAAAGGCTGGTGGCTTTTATTTCAGGGTGAATCCTTTGTCCCTGGTAGAAATCATTCTTCATGTAGTTAGACAGATGACTGGTAAGTCTTTCTTTTATAAAGGAGCAGATCCAAATGGTAGTTAAAATTATCTCGAAATATATGTTAATTGAACTTCTGTGCTTTCCGTATCAGATACTGTGTTTTCATTATACTTTATGGTCAAAACCTGAAGATTGTCTTACTTAAAGGTGTCGTGGTTGGTAGCAACCAGACTGTTGATGGTCCTTCTGACTTTGTTGTTCTTTCTTTTCTAGATCCTAATGTGGCTCTTACTTTTCTGGAAAAGACTCGTGAGAAGGTAAATGTGAGATTTGAGCAATACCTTTTAGAGTGTATGTGACTTACAGTTTCTGTCCATGCTCACTGTCCAGACCTTTCAAGACCACAAGGTCTCTGGTCATCAAGGTTAAGTTAGTGTATAAGTAGCTGGCCTCCTTAGTCAGCTGCCCACATTCTGAGGTTTCTCGTTTTTGTTTTTGATGTCTTAGGTGAAAAGTAGTGATGAGGCAGTGATCCTGTGTAAAACAGCAATTGGAGCTCTAAAATTAAACATCGGGGACCTACAGGTTACAAAGGTGAGCTCACCATAATACAGATTTATCTTTGGGGGTCCAAAGTGGCTCCCGCCGGAGGTCATGGCGCTTGCAAAGGCGAGGTCATCAGTTCAAGGCTAACCTGAGCAACCTCATAAGCTCAAACTGATTGGCAAAAAAAAAAAAAAAAATACAGATTTATCTTTGGTTTAAAATTATTTAAAACTATAGGGAAAAAATAACCTACTTTTCTTCCTGTTTATTTTAAAACATTTTTGTGAAAAGTTGCAAAAATAACACAAAGAACTCTATACCCCAACCCAAATTCCCCATTGTAGACCTATTTTTTGAGATGGAGTCTGGCTCTGTTTACCCAGTCTGGAGTGCAATGGCACAATCTCATCTCACTGCAGCCTCTGCCTTTCAGATTCAAGTGATTTTCCTGCCTCAGCCTCCTGAGTATCTGGGATTACAGGCATATGCCACCACACCTGACTAATTTTTTTAAATTTTTTTGTGTTCTTAGTAGAGTCAGGGTTTCACCATGTTGGCCAGGTTGGTCTTGAACTCCAGACCTCAAGTGATCCGCCCACCTCAGCCTCCAAAAGTGCTGGGATTAGTCATGAGTCACTGTGCCCGTCCCCGCATTGCTACCTTTACCTTTGCCTCTGTGTGTGTGTGTGTGTGCGTGCGCGTGTGTGTGCACGTGCGTGTGTGTGTGCGTGCGCATGTGTAGCTTTTTTCCAGAACCACTTAAGGATAAGTTGCGGATGTAATGCCTGTTGCCCTTAGACAAATGAACACTCCCCTGTGTTACCACAGCACATCCATCTAGTAGTGACCCAGCATGGCCTGAGTCAGTCCAAAGCACACTGGTTCTCCCTGACCACGGTTAGCCTGCACACCACTGACACATCACGTGCTCCATCTTCCCTCTGCCTCCTAAATGTTGTTGAAGTATCCTGTCTATTTTTATGTCTGTCTTATGTTCATTTTAGTGCAGTATGGGGGACAAGTATGGATGTGGGGAGCAGTGAAACCAGCATATGTGGTTGGTCCGCCTTGTCTAACCAAAGCCTGCGTGTGTTTGTGTTTGCTTTGGTACTCGGTACTCACCATGTTAAAGAAAATATTGGAGGTTAGGGTTAAAAGGGTTCATGTTCTCATTGCCCTGAAAAGATGCCTTTTATTGCGTATTGTTTCTCCATCCTAACCCCTATGCATACTTACTGCATTTTATTTTGAAACGTTTAGGACATGTTGAAAGCCGTAAGTCACAGTAAAGAATGCTGTAATAGGCATCCATGTGCCCTAACCAGCTTATGAATGAAGCAGCACGACAGGGCGCCAGTGCCCTTCAGACCACACTTCGCCCCCAGCCAGGCTCCGTCTCATGCCCGTGCACTTCCTTGTGCTTCATTAAATAGGGGTGTGTGACTCTTGTTTTCACATTGGCTTAGTGCTAGATGCCAGCGTCATCATGTTGATATGTGTAACCAGTGTGCTTTGACTCCTGTATGATACTTCATTGTATAAGTGTTTCACAGCATGTGTATCCAGTCTCCTATTGAAGAGATTTAGGGCCAGGCGTGGTAGCTCACACCTGTAATCCCAGTACTTTGGGAGGCTAAGGAGGTAGATCACGAGGTCAGGAGTTCTACACCAGCCTGGCCAAGATCGTGAAACCCCATATCTAATAAAAATACAAAAATTAGCTGGGCATGGTGGCAGGCACCTATAATCCCAGCTACTTGGGAGACTGAAGCACAGAATTGCTTGAACCCAGGAAGTGGAGGTTGCAGTGAGCCGAGATCACACCACTGTACTCCATCCTGGACAACAGGGAGACTCTGTCTTAAAAAAAAGAAAAAGAGTCATTTTACTATCACTAACAATAATGCTGTATTTCAGTGCCTGGTCCCTTGTGTATGTGGGCAGAATCGTCTCACCAGGAGACTACAGATAACAAGCACATGCATCTCTGCCTTTGCCAGATGTATCCTCCCTCAGCACCATGTGAGCACTCCGGAAGCTCCATGTCTTCAGCACCTGATAGTTTCAGGCTCCTTAACTCTTGCTGATCTGATGGAAGTGAAACGATATCTTATCCGGGGTTTAATTTGCATTCCACAATTACTAGTGGTTTATTTCTATTTGTGTCTCCAAAGTTGTCAACTGCCTATTAATGTCTTTTGCCCATTTTTCTACCGTGTTGCTTGTCTCCTGACTGATTTGTAAGCATTTTTATATTTCCTTGGTCATAATTGCTGGTGGGTTATATATGCTGTAAGTATCGTTTCCCAGTCTATAGCTTGGCTTTGTACTTTTTTCTGTGTTTTGGATGAAGTTTTCCATTTTAATGTAGTAACATTGATCAGTCTTTGTCTTTGTGGTTTATGTTTTCATCCCACAATATATTACTTTAAAAATCTTAGCCAAGCACAGTGGCTTGCACTTGAAATTCCAGCTACTACAGAGGCTGAGGTGGGAGAATCACTTGAGGCCAGGAGTTCACGACCACCCTATGCAACAGAGTGAGACCCTGTCTCTAAAAAAATTAAATAAATAAAATTTTAACATAAAAAGAGATGATTTTGCTTCCTATGTGTAGGAAACAATTGAAGATGTTGAAGAGATGCTCAACAGCCTTCCTGGTGTTACATCAGTGCATAGTCGTTTCTACGATCTCTCTAGTAAATACTATCAAACAATCGGAAACCACGCGTCCTACTACAAAGATGCTCTGCGGTTTTTGGGCTGTGTTGACATCAAGGATCTACCAGGTAATAACCTAGGCCATCGAAGTCCACGTCACACAGGAGCATATTCTCCAAACATAGCAGCTATGAGGTGCTTGAGGTGATAGTTCTCGGAAATTACTAAGATGGGTCTGGGCATGGTGGCTCACGCCTGTAATCCCAACACTTTGGGAGGCTGAGTCGGGTAGATCGCCTGACATCAGGAGTTCAAGACCAGCATGGCCAACATGGTGAAACCCTGTCTCTACTAAAAATACAAAAAAAACATAGAGAGCTAAATTTGACGGTAGGTGCCTGTAATCCCAGTTACTCAGGAGGCTGAGGCAGGCAAATCACTTGAACTCAGGAGGTGGAGGTGGCAGTGAGCTGAGATTGCAGCACTGCAGTCCAGCCTGGTGGCAGAGTGAGACTCCATCTCACCAAAAAAAAAGAACTCAGATGGATTCATCCTGTTTTGAAGAAAAAAATGGGAAAATTTGCATAAGCTTTACTTTCTTTTTTTTAAATTTTTATTTATTTATTTTTTCCTTTTTTTTTTTTTTTGAGACAGAATTTCGCTCTTGTTACCCAGGCTGGAGTGCAATGGCGCGATCTTGGCTCACTGCAACCTCCGCCTCCTGGGTTCAGGCAATTCTCCTGCCTCAGCCTCCTGAGTAGCTGGGATTACAGGCACACGCCACCGTGCCCAGCTGATTTTTTGTATCTTTAGTAGAGATGGAGTTTCACCATGTTGACCAGGATGGTCTCGATCTCTTGACCTCATGATCCAGCCGCCTCGGCCTCCCAAAGTGCTGGGATTACAGGCTTGAGCCACCGTGCCCGGCCTTATTTTTTTTTTCTTTTATATATAAGCTTTACTTTCTATGTTGTATTTGTCTCCGGCATTTAATCTAGATGAAAATGTAAAAATGAGGCTAATTCCTCCTAGCTCCTTTACTGCTCCTTCTCCAGCTCCCTACTGCTACCCAAGTCATAGGTCTTTTAGGAAGTACCATGATGTGACTACTTTCTAAGCCCACCCACCTACTACCCTGCCATGGGAAGAAGGACACATGAAATCCCTATGGCCGAGACACTTGTTTTGAAAACTAAAATTCCAGACCCATGGGGAAAAACTACTAAATCTTTCAAGGATTCCAGAGTGGAAAGAAAACAATGAGTTTTGGGGAAAGTGCAAGGAATATATGTTCAGAAAGTAAGTTTTCAGCAGAGTTTAGAAGTTCCTCACAAAACACTGTTGTCGTTAAGGAGACCAGCAACTCTTACAGTGTTGATGCAGTTTTTATTACTGTATGTCAAGAAAAACAGAAAAGGAGCTGAGGTGGTCAGAGAATAATGGACTTGCTGTCTAGGAACAGAAAGTAAGTTAATTCTGGTCTGAAAAGAAGCTGGGTTGGGTAACTTAAAGATAAATAACAATATTCCTTGCCATAGCAGGTAAGAGATTTAAGGAACTGGTGGGAAGTGGCACAGCTGAAAATATGAATAGATTCAACTGTCTTTAAGAAAAAAATAAATAAACGAATGCTCTTTCCATAAAACCCATGTGTGTGTGGTTCCTGGTGAATCTAAGTCAACCCAGTACTTTAGAAGAAGCGTCATACACGCTTACAAACAGTGGTTTTTTTACTTTTTTGTTATATGAGATTTTGAAAGCTAAACAGGACTGATTATTGTGACTGATAGTTAAGTGGGCCTGTGTTGCTACCACAGTGTCTGAGCAGCAGGAAAGAGCCTTCACACTGGGCCTAGCAGGACTTCTCGGCGAGGGAGTTTTTAACTTTGGAGAACTTGTAAGTTGACCCTGGGCTCAGCTTCCTTAACAAGGAAAGGGGAGACTAAAGTGTTACCAGCTGACGATCTCTGTCCTCACAGCTCATGCACCCTGTACTGGAGTCCCTGCGCAACACTGACCGGCAGTGGCTGATTGACACCCTCTATGCCTTCAACAGTGGCAACGTAGAGAGGTTCCAGACTCTGAAGACGGCCTGGGGCCAGCAGGTGTGACTCCCACGATGCCCAGCCCTTATTCCCCTGTGTATTTATCACTCATACAACAGATGTTCATTGAGCATCTTCCCTACATGCCAGGCACACAGGAAGGCACTGGGCAAAGAGGAGACCAAGACAGGCTAGTGCTTGCTCTCATGGAGCAGAGAGCCAAGTGGTTAGTTAGCTACAGTGTTACTCAGTGCCACAGAGGAAGGGTGAGGGTATTCTGAGAAAGCAGCTGAATGTGGGCCCTGCATGTATGCTGGGTGCAGGGGGTGTCTCAGAAGGTGTCCCAAATCCCAGGAAGTCACAGTGACCTAAGGTCATCATCTGTGTGCCCTTAGGAATGAGTGAAGAGGCACAGTACGAGTGCACTTAGCCAAGGGGAAGGAAAATTTTAGCATGTTAGCTGAACTGAAAGAAGGATGTGTGAAACCAACATGAGTGGGTGGGAGAGAGGGTGAGATGAAGGAGCAACAAGTGCCTGGTGTAGGGAGGACGGTCAGTTCACCTCAGTGCAAGGGAAGGGCGGGCAGTGGGTGAAGGAGCCTCTGGAAGGTGGGAGTCAGTGAGAGGTGCTTAACAAGGGCTTGAGCTTTAATGGTAAGTATGTTCTTTTTTAATGAAGTTGTTAGAAGTAAATATTAATAAAATGTTGACAGTGGTAGGAATTATGGTTATTTTTGTATTTTTCTGAAATTTTCAAATTTCTCAGTTTAAAATAAAGTTGTAAAATTCATACGTGGTAGAGCAGGGTAGATACGGACGGGGGCACTGTGAAGAGGCAAAAAGCACAGATGCAGCCAGAGCTAACTCTGGTCCGAGTATTTATTGATATCTCAAAAGGAAAAAAAAAATGTGCCACTCAGAAAGGAAGATGGCTGGTTATAGCAATTTAAAGAAAAAAATTCAGAGATGCATGTTGGCAGCATCTGTTCTGGAGTGGGAGTAAGCCCTTCCCACAGAGCTTGACCTGTCCAGTGCTTGTGGCAGAAAGGTCCCCATTGGGGCTGCCTGTGTCAGGATATGAATTGCTATTTGAGTTAAGAAAACAAGTCTCCTTGGTTTAATTCTGTGCTTACTGGGTAACACTTTAATCCACTGTAAGAAGAGATTATGCCAGTCTTGGAGACGGGTATATTCTAGTTCTCATGACGATGATATTTTTCATTATAAATTAATAACTTGCTTTTTGATTCAGAACAAGTCTCTAGAACTTAAGGAAGCTGTTCCTCAGAGGAGCTCCACTTGCACTGTGCTGACTGAGCAGGCAGCACCCCCTGAAGCCTCCTGGCCATCAGGCATGTCCTTCCCACAGCGCCTTGACCAGGATGGTCTTCTTGAAATGCCTGTACCCTGTTAGAGATCTCACCTTGTCAACTCCTTGCCTTGACAAACAGTGTCCCAGTTAGGCACTGCTCTGTAGATTTCCTAAGAGTGAAGTTAGATCACTGAAGCTGTTATTGAGCTTCAGTATTCTGCTGTGTAAAACGTTTGGATCTGCTTAGCTGCTTTTTGTTCCGTCTACTGTTGAATGAATTCCAAAGCCCCAGTTGGGTAGCTGGTAAGCACAAACATGGATGACACTGCCTGTCTCTCTATACTTTACAGCCTGATTTAGCAGCTAACGAAGCCCAGCTTCTGAGGAAAATTCAGTTGTTGTGCCTCATGGAGGTGAGCAAGCACCCAGGAGCCACTGTGTCTGTGGTTTAAGATTTTGGTCAGGTGGGGCGCTACACTCTCCAAGCCTGTCCGGAATACAGTCTGAGCTTTCAGTGGTGCTTCTGCCATGCACCACTCTCTTCACCATGTTTCTTTTCCTTTGCCACCACTTGCTCTTTTAAGTTGATACTTGGGTCTTACACCCCCTCACCCACCACCCACCACTGCTCCCCCGAGGCCTTCTCTGGCACCCCCTCACCCGCCACTGCTCCCCCGAGGCCTTCTCTGGTACCCCCTCACCCGCCACTGCTCCCCCGAGGTCTTCTCTGGCACCCCCTCACCCGCCACTGCTCCCCCGAGGCCTTCTCTGGTACCCCCTCACCCGCCACTGCTCCCCCGAGGTCTTCTCTGGCACCCCCTCACCCGCCACTGCTCCCCCGAGGCCTTCTCTGGTACCCCCTCACCCGCCACTGCTCCCCCGAGGCCTTCTCTGGTACCTCCTCACCCACCACTGCTCCCCCGAGGCGTTTTCTGGCCATCTGAGTTGAAATGAAGTAGCTGCCTCCTGGTGCATGTCCCTTCCTGTCAATGTGCACATCTGTCTTTCCCACAAGAGTTTAGGCTTCTTGAGGAAGTGGACCTTACATTGCTAGTTTCCCTGGAAAACTGTGGCCTCAAGTACTTGTTTGGGGATGGAATAATGGCTACCGTCAAAAATTCCTATAAGGCTTATTTTTGCTATTATCCTTATCTAAGCATTGAAAGCTTATTCTTAAAAAGATGTATGTCTAATATTAGGAAATTTTTCAGTATATGGGGCACTAATAAGATTATCTTTGCTTTCAGGGCCAATATTAACAAAACACCCTTATCAATCAGTCCATTTTTATTTGGAAAAATCGTTTAAAATAGTTAATAATTTTTTTTTTTCAGATGACTTTTACACGACCTGCCAATCACAGACAACTCACTTTTGAAGAAATTGCCAAAAGTGCTAAAATCACCGTGAATGAGGTACGGTCCCTAGGCTCAGGATGTTACAGTGGCAAAGCCACCACCTGGAGTCAAGGCTCTCGTGTGAGCACTCTGCTCCCTAGACAGTGGAGAACGATGGGAGAAGCAGTATCCCCATTTCAGACACCACCTGGGTTCGTGGGTGTGTGTCAGGCCATCTTGTCTCACACTCTTTGCACAGGTGGAGCTCCTGGTGATGAAGGCCCTTTCGGTGGGGCTGGTGAAAGGCAGTATAGACGAGGTGGACAGACGAGTCCACATGACCTGGGTGCAGCCCCGGGTGTTGGATTTGCAACAGGTGATGTGATTGAGACCCATTTGCCTCTGTGGGTGTTTTGGGGTTGTATCTATACTGTCTTCATTTCATTTGGATGAAAGCCGTTTAGGAAGAAAGCATTATTAGACACGAGGTTTTGGAGAAGGAATTACTGCTATTGGATTTTCCTAAGAGCCTAATTTAATGCAAGCCTGAGATTTGAACCCTGCATTTAAAAGCTTATTATGACAATAGTGCGGTTGTGCTCATGGTGCCTTTTAATCTTGAGATAAGTGCTCTAGTCAGACCATTCCTGCTTCTGTGATTTGAGCTCACATCCACCTACTCACATTTGCTGGAAATGTAATCCTGTAGATTTCCTTGATTCTTGTCTGCTTGCTTTCATGCAAGTTTTTTCTAAAGTCCTTGTGATAAGAATTAACCCGGGCAGTCCTATCACACTCCCCTAGCTGAGAGATCCTTTTTATTAGAGCTGCCCTAGAGAATTAGCTCTCATCAGGTGCTGTGGTGTTGGCCACTTGGCCTGTGACTCCTGAGTGTCTTAATGCCCCTTGTGTGTGCATTTGCATTTCAGATCAAGGGAATGAAGGACCGCCTGGAGTTCTGGTGCACAGATGTGAAGAGCATGGAGATGCTGGTAGAGCACCAGGCCCATGACATCCTCACCTAGGGCCCCCTAGGTCCACCTGTGGTCCCCTTTGACTCACCTGAGAGGCGTTTCTCCAGCCGATAAAGCTGGCTGTCAGATGGTCTACATTGAATTGGGGTAGGGGTTGGAATCGTGTCTGTAGGACAGACTTTTCTTGCTATAAAAACAGAGGACTGTCCCTAATGGGGGCCAGGCCACAGGCAGAAGCCTCCTTTGTGGGTCTCTCCTGCAGCAGATGGGGGTCTCTGAGTTTTAGGTCATAAGGGAGAGAAACTGTGTATGAGGCGGGAAGTGCCCTCAAGTCTGTGTACTCCGAGGTTGATCTCCATTCCCCGTCCACCTCTGCGGACATCTTTTCCATTGTGGTGTGAGAATGTTCCTGTAATAAACACCTTTGCTTTCTTCTTCTCATGGCTCTGTTTTCCTGGGCTTAGCTTCCAGGCCAAGCCTGTGCCTGGAGGTTAAAAAGCATGAGTTGGAACCTTGAGAGGATTTGGTGGGGGTAGCCTTGGCCTTCTCCTTCCTGCACATAAAGTAGACTAGGGCAGAACCCAGCCCCAAGGACCACCGAGGAAGCTGGTCCTGTCTTTATTGTTAGAGAGACCCACGGGTATCCGCTCCCTTCTCCAGCCCTCTCAGGTACCTGCCCCAACTCAGGCATCCACATCCTTGTCACCACTTGTCACTCAAGTAGCTGGCAGCATCTGTGACCTGGTGTGCACCAGCGCTGACGTGAGCCATCCCTGGGACTGGGCATGTAAAGGAAACTGCCTTGAGGTGCCCCTTCTGGGAGTGGAGTGCACATGTACAAAGAAATCACAGAGTGAACGGCAGGTGGAAGGACGGTTTAATGCTGTCTTTCAGTCCTGTGCCTGCGGTGACACTAGAGCCTTTATGCTCTGGGGTGCTTCTTGTAGTTTTCCACGTGGCTTAAGATCCAGCCTGCAGGACCCAGGAAGGTGATGAATATGAGTGAGAGCCCCACGGCCTGCTCCTGATGGAGAAAGCACACACGAGTTTACTAGGCTGGTAGAGGGGTCAGGCCTGGGCCACTAAGGGAGGTTGCCTGTCTGCCCTCTGTCCCTCAGGGGGATTTGGGAGAAAGACTGCCCCTGGCCCCTCCCTCCCCTAGCCGTGTTATCTCCATCTGCCTTCAAATTTCTGGGTAGTTGTGAGCAGTGAGAAACCACTGTCATCAACATGGCTGGCAGCCTCTAGCTCTCATCAGGGAGGACGACCTCTGAGAGACCAGGAGCCCTGGGTTTCCATCTGTGGGGCTGGCTGCTTGTCACAGCCACATCCCTCTGCCTGAGAGCCTGCCTGGCTGCATATACCAGAGAGACTCAGACCCCGTGTGCACTGAACCCATGAAACTTCCCAGTATATGGGGAACTAATGATGTCAGCACTGTACAGAGCAGCAGAAACAGCCACGATTTTAAGTTGCATGCAAACAAGCGCAGGGCCCGTCCTCTAAAGGGCAGTCCCGTTCGGAGGGCTGCGTCGAGTTCAGAGTCCCCGTGCTCTGTGTGTGCACCTGTGCCCACAGCAGAGACCCCATCTGCACCCCTGTGTTCCGAGTGGCTGAACTTAGCCAGGTTCTGAGGCACCAGCCAGATTTCACCCTCACTCAGTTTCCTCCTGAATCAGCCTGGGCCCAGTCCTCCCACCCTGTTTCCTAAAGCTGAATCCGATGCCAGGTTGGAGACCGATTCTTCCTTTTGGCTTTAGCCACAGAGGTTTAAGAGCAAATCTGGCCTAGAATGGGGACCTTAGTGTAGGTTCAGGCCTTAGCTGTATGACCTTGGGCAAATGACCTTCTTGACCTTGGTTTATTTCTGCTGAAAACAGACATTCGTACTCGACTGGAGTGGAAATAGTTAACTTAGGTTTCAGTTTTCACCTGTGCTTTCATATGACCCTCACAGCAGCCCTCCGTTTCCTCTTTAAGGGGATGAAGCCAGTGGATTCACCAAGCCTCCAAGCTCAGCCTAGTACCCATCTTTGGCCAAGTGATCAGAGCCTCAGAACTGGGAGCCCCCTCCCCACTGTTGACTCTGCTGCCCATTTGGAAGCCTGGCCTACAGGTGATGGCTGCAAGGACCCCCTTCCTGGCGTGCAGACACCGTCACAGTCATGGCACTGCGGGACTAAGGCCCAGTGCTATGATCACCCCTCCCTTTCTCCAGCCTGGACTTCTGTGTCACCTTGAAACCCAGGGAATGGGCTGAGTTCTCAGGACTGCCCACTGCTACCTTGGAGGTCACTTACCGCAGGAGAGGTGGGTGTTTCGGCCGGCTTGGCAGAGACGTGGGCCTTGGGGACTGCCCAACACCTCAGCGGGGCTTGGAGCGGCCTGAGGGCAGGGCGCAGCCTCAGCATGGTTCTGGGGTCCGGCTCCTTCCTGAGTTCCAATTGGGATTCCCCAGCGTGTCCTCCTCTCGCTGTGTCCTCTGCTTGCTTGGGTGTTGGGGCTTTTTATAGCTGAAGGGGGAGCTGCAGCTGTCCCCTCCTGTCACAGGGCTTGGCAGAAAGGACACCTGCTTGGAACTGGAAGAGAACCAGCCTCAGACCAGCAGCCCCAGCCTGGCGCTCCCTGACGTGACTTCAAGTAAGCACTCGCAGTGTGTGGAGCTGTGACTCCCTCTGAAAAGGGGTTTCATCCCTTCATGAAAAACGATCTCCACAGGGGAGCAGGGCGAGGGTTTGAGAATGCAAGGGGGAAAAGTGACATGCTTTTGAAGTAAGCCCTAAGTATCTGGGGTGTCAGCCATGCAGTACCAGGTAGAGCTCTTATAAAATTCTCACATTTTGGGATTCGTGGGTGAGCTGCTGAACCTTCTCAAGTGATGTTACCACAGAGTGGCCCTGAGTTGGGGGCCCAGCTCCTGCTGTCTGAGGAGTCAGCCTGTTCCCTGAGGATGCTGGGCTGCCTGTTGGGAAGAAGTTCTGCACTTTGTGAGTGCTGGCTGTGGGCAGGGGGTTCTGTCTGACCCCAGGTTCCTTCCCTTGGGGCCCACAGGTAAGTCAAGGCACCCAGGGCTGCATGTGCTGGGTTAGCTGGGCTCTGGCCACAGTCTCCCAGCCTCTTCTGCAGATACTGAGTGGTTCATTCCTTCCCACAGCAAACACTTCCTAATAAAATTGTTTTCCTGCTCTCTGGGAGACAATTTCACCCACTCCCTTTCTCGGTGCAGACTCCCACCATCACCCCCTGGGAGGGCCTATGTGCGCTGCCCCAGGCAGCCTGTGCCCCATGCCCCAAGGCTTCTGTCCCACCACATGCAAAGGCCAATTCTCTGGCGTCTTCTCCAGCCCTTTTCTCTTTGGTTGCTGGACTGTGAGCTCCTGGCTTTTTTCACCTCATCCAGGCCCTGCCTGACCTCATGGCCCCAGACCCCTCTCAGTCTTTCCACCCACCCTCTCCAGACCTCACTGGGCTCTGGTCCACTTGGCCCGACACCCAGCTGCTCCTTCTCAAGTCACAATCGCTGGGATCTGTTGATCACTAGCCTCTATCCCCACCTTGTGGTCAAGTTCCCAAGGCCCTGTGGTGCCCCCTTCAACCTTCTCCAGCCCTCTCAGCTGCTCAGGCCAAATGTCAGTGTGAGCCTCCATTTCCCTCAGGTACTCACATGCCACAGCCAACCCATGGACTCCCCACCCTCCCCAAGTCCAGCCTCAAACATGTCTCCACAACTGCTCCTCCACACAGCAGCCCCGACAATTTTCTACAGCAATCAGTTTCCCCCAGCAGGCTCCACTCCCACCAAGGCCTGAGTGCTCTGACCACGCCTGCCTTGCTGGTCCTGCTCCTCCCCTCATCTGCTCTCCCTGTGCCCCCACAAACCTCCTGCCTCATCCCAGACAGGATCTGATCACAGCCAAGAGAGACACAATCCCGAATGTTACCTCCAGCAGTGCTGGGCTCCTGACACCAGCTCAGGCCGTGGGGGGCTCTGCCCCTCCTCTGTAATAATCCCTTCCGCCTGAAGCTTTAATTATAGCTTTGGGGTCCAGTTCTGGATAAGGCTGTGGACCTGAGGGCTTGTTCAAAGGATCACTATCCCAGCCTATGTTGTCTCATCTTTCACAGATAAGAACTAGCTGCACCACCATCCAGGCTTGCCCCTGAGGGAGGCCTCCACCTCTGCCCCTTTTGGGCTTAAGCAGAGTGGGGGGTGCAGGTGGTGTGTGCGGGTGGGTAGTGGAGAGGCCCACTGTGCTGCAGGACATGAGGCTTCCAAACAAGCCCCCAGCCAGCCCAGCCTTGCAGGGGTGATGCCCCAGGGAAAGAGAGAGGAGGGAGCTGGCAGGGGTGGGAGCAGCAATGCCTGGAGGTGAAAGGAGAGGAGGGAGCTGGCAGCGGTGGGAGCAGCAATGCCTGGAGGAGACACTGCCCTCCAGGAGACTCTGCAGGCCTCCCTCAAGCCCAGATGGCCACACCAGCCACAGCCTTCAGCCCCTTCCCATCTGCCCCCTCACCGGTCATAACGGCCCTTCTGACCTTGCTGAGCACAAACCTGTCCTCCTCCCTTTGCACTCACGCAGCTTCTGCTGCGGGGGCCCCACCTGCAGCAGTGAGCTTTGGTCCTTATCCCAGCCTTGTTTTTGTCCCCAGTTTGAGCCACTTGTTCAAAGCAAACCCTGTGGTTAAAGATCCCTGAGGCCCCCACAGCAAGGCTGCCCGAGATGGCCTCTCCTCTCACCACCCTGAGGCCTGGACCCTCTTCCCCACCACCCCCAGGTCTCCCATTTAATAGAAGGAGAACAATGTGACCCAGGGAAAACATGAGGGTAGCCAAGTGGGGGTGCAGGAAAGAGATTACGGAGGCCTGGAGAGCATTCAGGATTCTGGACTCAGGGTCTGCCAGACCCATCCTGGCCCATCCTGGACAGGGGCAGCATCAGAAGATGCGCTCAAGGCCATAGATGGCCAAAAGTAGTCCCGTTACCTGCATCTTCACCCTCACCCTCTTCAGCCACTCAGCATGTACCTATCAACCTTGCCCTGGACACACCCCTAATGCCCCTGGGATGTGGGAGAGAGACCGGCCATGGCGCACACCCTCTCAGAAAGCTGCAAGGCCACCTCAGCCTGCAGGACCACCTGGAAGGTCCGGCAGACACCTGTGGGCACAGGGCACCACCCTGTGTCCAGACTTGGAACCACAGAAGCCGCTGGAGGAGGCACAGATGAGGGCACAGCCCTCTCCCGTGGAGCTCTTCGAATCAGAGACCCAGGAAGAGCACACATGCATGAAAACATTTGCATGATCCTTGTTTATTGCATTAGAAATCTATTTCTTCACATAAAATAGTAGTTCCTAAAGTGTGGTTCCTGGTCCAGGAGCATCAGCATCACTCATCTTGTTAGAAATGAAACAGAAACTGGAGTGGGCCTAGCA